CTACATAGCTGTCCATTGTTCATTGTCCTACTATAGCTCTCTATTGTAGTACATTCATATTTATTACCAAGAAAGCTAAAAATTGTTAAGGGCCGGGGGGGGAGCGGGGGGGGGGGAGGGAGGAGGGAGGAATTAATCACATTAAGATGCTTAAAATGAAGAGTTGTCTATTCCTAACAACGCATACATCCCCACATAAGTTATCACTAATTTTCTCGTACATTAGTACAAAGCAGTTTTTAAGCTTTATCAGTAGTGTGTTCTGTACATCAAAGTATCAAATTAATTGTAGACTGTTGCTTTGTTCTTATCTTATTTCTTTGCATAAGCTTCTGTTTGCTCTCCACATCGATATACAGCTACAGCCTTATAAACCAAGTAAGATGCAAACAGGCAAGATATGCTCTAGCTGTATCTGTTTGATAAATACTCTGTTGGGCATTCCATTGTGGACTCTCAGGGCACAGTATAAATTCTGCTTTTATTAAAACAATGACAATATGATTCAACAATTTTAAATCAATTTGGCTTTCAAAGGTGTAAGAACAAAACCTGGCTTCAAGCTATCACATTTTATTATAATTATTAGTTAGAAAGTGAATTTTACATATATTGGTATATAACCTAATGTGTGAAACTCAATAGCTGTTCTACTACATAATGTGAAAATCAACAATAATACTGTGAGAGTCAAAGGCTGAGGGATGCTAGAATCATCTTCTCTGGTCAAGGAGACATAGGACAAGCCAAGTCTTACCCTACTCTGCATGCTCCATACAGGGATTTGCACAAGGTAGCACAAAATCCCTCTGACACCTTAATGTCTCATGTCAAAATCTTCTGATTTGGCACATGGTTTTAAAGGAATGTCCTTTTCAGTGCACTAGCCCTGACAGAGTTAGAATTTAGCAGGAAGTTTCTAGGAAAAATTGTGAAGCCTACCAGGGAGGTTATGTCTTCACCTTCGCTGTCTACGTCAAAAAGTTCTCTCTTCAGAATGGTTGCAGCCATGCACAATGCTGGAAGATTACATACCTTCTTCTTTGGTGGCTGTTTCCTGATTCTAACTCAATTTCCTGATTCCTAGCCATGATACCTCACAGGGTCACAAGTGTACTCTAGATGTGCCAGAAAAACAAGGCTGGAGAAATCACTCTGCTATTAGGGTTAATAAATATATTTGAGCTTTCATTTTCAAGAATTTGAATAGCAAGATAACCTGACAAAAAATTGTAAGTACGGTGCTCTATACATACACAAAACATTGGCATGTTAGCAACACATCATAAATGATGGCATTTCTAACACTGTCTTTGGTCTCTTTCTGTCATCAAGAAAATTCTCTGAATAAACAAGTGTATTGGTGTCATTTCCCTGGGTAGTGTGCCATGCCATGTAGATACAGTTTTAGAAAGCTCTAACTCCACTAAAGCTTGGCATTTTACCAAACTCAATAAGTGAAGTCAACGGTAAAATGCACAGGGCACCAATAAGCAGTGCTGAGTAGGAGGGACCAGCTCTACACCTTCTGCCTGAGGGAAAATTTTATTTTTCAGGCAATGGCTTATAATCATCCTTCCCTGAAATTAGAGGTAAAACTAAGAGTGTAAAATCTTATTCTACACTTCCCCCTGCCATCCTTTCCATTCCATCTTTATTGATTAAAGAAACATTCATTGTTTTTTACATTGTTTTTTTAAGCATTGGCTTCTGGGGCTTTAAGAATCAATGCACTTGCTGCAAGTACTGGATGCAAGGTTGCTACTGAATTTATCTGTGAAATGTACCATGGTTGTGTTTCCAATTTATGAAAGTTCTTCCTTTCCGCTGCATAAATGAGTATGTTATCATTTGGCTGCCTTGAGATGTGCCTGCAAAAGTGGAAGAGCATAAGCAAGAGAGACATGCTCCAAGAACAAGAAACATCTATTCAATTGTACATTTAACTGTGTAGTGAACAAAACAATTTAGAAGTTTCAGAAAGTGGCAAACTGCATTCTAAGTCAGATGCGTGATAATGGGACTTGATCTGATGGGCCACGACACCTCTCCCTAAGCTGGCTTCTAATCCAGGCAATGAGGAAGCACCTCCAATGATTTTCAGTTCTTTATCCTTGCAAATGTGAACTTCAGCTTAATCATCAGAACAGATGCTGCTTTTTCACTCTGAGAAGGATAATTTAGAGTCCCCAGCCCAAGGCTTGCAAAATGACTCGTGATTTTGAGTACCCTCTCTAAACTGTATAAAGAGTAAGCACATGCCTGCAGGAGAAATTCAGGTTCTCTTTAAGACACTGCAGACTGAAGTTGCAGCAAAGGCAGCATCCAAAATTCAAAGTGATTGGAAACTCTTGGTCTCTTTTATGGTACTGCTAACAGTGTGGTAAATTGTGGTACAATGATGATACAACATAGACCTGAACTGTGGATCTCCCTTGCTACAGGATGTTCTGAAAACTGAATGTTTATGTGCAATCAATGTTTATTTGGAAAAAATCATAGAAGAAAAATGCAAGAGAGCTCTTAAACTAAAAAGTTTTGTCTCAGGAAGTCTCTGAGCTGCAGATTACTGGAAGTTGGGAGAGTAGCACAGTGTCATTATGTTTGGCCCATTCCCATTGTCTTCCCTAGGTATCTGTCGTTGGTCACCACTGCAGACAGGATGCACTAGGCTGACTTTTGGGCTGATTTAGTACAGCTGCTCCTGCATTATGTTAATAATACATGTAGACAAAGATCAGTTCTTATTTATTTTACTTACCTATGATTTGGTAGTGATGGTAATACAAGTCCTTAAAATAGACTTGAATATATAAAGAGAATTTCTTTTATATTCTGCTCATGTTTTATATGAACTTGGATCTTTCAGCTGTGTCTCAGTAATCACAAGAAATCAGAGAGCTGTTTTGTGGATGATAGAAGTGAGGAACTGAGTTGATGAATTGTCAGCGCCAAACATAATACAGGATAGAGTTGAGTGAACCTTCAAAAACAGCTCAGTTACGGAGCCTACAATCCAAAGTCAGTGAATGTAATGGTGAAGGAAAGTTGGACCCTATCCAATGCTACTTTACTTTACAAAATGATTGAAATCTGAGAAAAAGAGAACCAAGAGAATAAACCTCAGAAATCCATTTATATGGAAAGTACTCCTCTCCTTCAACCCACTCTCTCAATTTACATATACATGTCTCTCAGCAGTTAAATCATGCGACTTGGACATCTCTGAAACTAAACATCTTTAAGGAAATGTAATCCCTCTGTTTCTGGAAGGTTAGCTTCCCAGTTGTCATGCACCTACAAAATATTGTGGATATGTGAACCACAGAAATTTTTTTTTTTAAAGAGGATTTGTACTGTGATCCAGAACTTCTGTAGTGTTAGCATGAAGCAAAAAAACCAGACTGATATTATCTTTTGTGAGAAAGAAACTAAAGGGACAAACAAGCTAAGATCCAGATCAGAAGGACTTGTTCTTTGGCACGACTGTAGGTGCCAGCCGCTCCCAACAGTAGCACCAGGAGAGACAAAGTGATGACATCTTCCTGTCTTTTCATGCCAGCTATCTTTGCGGTAGCCAGAATGAACAGTGTGTACACTGTATCCACTACACACTGAGGAACTCTGGGACAGGCTGAGTCATATTAAATATTCTGTGAAGCACTTGACAGGACTGATAATCTGCACCACACCCTGATGCAGAGCTGCATCTTCAAAGAACAATCAAGATCTTCATTTGCAGAAATGCCACCCATACACAGAAACAAAATTTGACAAGGCCTGATCCGAAAGCCTGGCATGCTCTGACAAACCATCTCAAAACCTCTTGCTGCTTTGGGGTGTGGAAGACAACACACTGCCCATACACTCCTTTCTCCATGGTTCTTTTATAAATTAGAAACGGATTCTAATCATCTAATAATGGTAAATAAGATAACGATAATATGCTCCAGAACCTGATCGTTCAGGATCTTCGCTTCCATAATTCCTACTAAACATAAAAAAGACATGAATGCAAACATGTGAAACTGCTAATAGTTCAGATATAAACCTGAGACAAAGGTATTCTTAAGAAATCGCATCCACAGAGAAATAATAATATAAAACTGACTATCTACTCTTAAATAACTGTTTTGTAATAATGTAGAGGTGAGTGTATACAGTCTTTTCTCAAGTAAAGCTTCAGGTGAGTTGTTTTTTTCTAAAGGTACAACATGGAACTGAGATTGCAAAGCTAGTGCAGCTTGTGCTTACCCAGACAAGCAAGGGCTTGGTAAACCAATTTGCTCAACCATTTCATCTGCACATTTAATGTTTTCACAGGTAGGTCACTTAATGCAAAATACCTCCGAAGCTTTCCGAGGAAATGTAACTGCTGACACAGATTCTGTCCCCTGACATCTGCTACTACATCACAGGTAAGACTATCACCAGTATCAAGAAAGCCTTCCAACAAACAATCAGCTCCCAGTGTAAGAAGTGGGGGTGAAACAGAAGGCATCACAACAATTTATTTAAATTGTGGGGAACTGACTTCAAAGTTTCATCCTGTCTGCTTCAGAAAGATGTGTTATAGGTGGGACTGTACATATTTACATGGTATCATAATCTAGAAGCATATTTCAGTCCTCCTTATCTCCCATTAGTCACTCCATGTCTGTACAGTAGTTCGAAGATATGGAGTGCTATGTAAGTGCTAAGTATTTGACTGATCACCTGTTACCAGAAACTGACTGAATCTGCTATAGAGAATGAAATACTCTTTTCATTATCCTGAGAAAGAGAAAACCTTCTCAGCCAAGAAGGCAGGGCTGGCACGTTCAACTCAAGGTCATCGCAAGAGTTGCAACTATATCTTCACTTTGACACAGGGACAGAACCGAAAGCACAGTCAGTGAACCAAAGCATGATACTGCGCTGAGCGAACTGAAGTGCTGAATTAATCAGTACGTGATCATTCTGTTTATTGTTATTTTCCTACCTGGTTAATTTTCTCTTACCTGAAAGTCAGAAGCCCAAGTGCCTCCAGGGGGTTAGAAAATGTCCATCTCCTCAATACAGCATACATTTCTGATACAGTTGTTCGATCCCAACTGGGTGCACTGCCCAGTACCAGAGGAAGGGAGCAATTTTGATTATTGCAGTAGTAACGATAAAACCATAAGGTCCTTCTCTGTTGCTCTGAGAGTCTGGAAGAGAAGATTAGAAATTCAGTTTGAAATTAAAACCACCTGGAGCTTTGTGTAGCAACAAACTTTATTGTACAGAGGGGCCAAGTCATACAGTACACTGCTTTTTGGCTAAGTATGTGTTTTCCTTGGGGTAGGATATCATTTTCTGCAGACCAGCTTTTATAAGAAAAGTGATACTTATTCTCTGGATCTGTCAGCCTTGGGTCATATAAAAATGAAGTGTCACAATACACACATATATGGTTATTTCACTTCCCAAGCACTCTCATTTTTCTCTTCCACTCTCTGTTGTTGTTGTTGTTTGTTTGTTTTTACTGGGGTTTTCTGACAAAGACAAAGAAGGTGCAGTTATCACCGGACAAATTATTGTTACATCCATCCGCTATGCATCATCTCTAACTAACTACTGTAACAACTAGATACACAACACTGCTAGCCATAGCTTTCATTCCTGTCCTTGCTTTGACTGTTTAATGCAGGTGTGTCTATTTTTAGTGTATTTGCATTTAAAATAGGGTTTAGACACATCCATGCACATACACAAGAACACGAGTGCATGTGCACGCACACACACACAGAGTATGATTATCCCTAGCACTGGTATGAGTTTGGAAAAGGGAAGGAAAGCTCCCAGCAACTTTTATGTCTGTTCTCAAGGCCTAGCATGCCATGCTTCTCTGTACTCACAAAAAAGGATGCAATGCCAAATTTCTCATAGAGATATTAGATATCTAAATGACCTATTGATAAAATGGTCAGTCACCATACCATATTTCAACAGTGAGGAATGCCTCAGAATAATTTTTGCTATATATCCTCTGGTTTGTCAACAATTCAGATGTCTTTGCCTCATGCATATTAAATCCTAGGTTTTGATACCATCAGAAAATAGACAAATAAATTCCCTGTGAAAGAAGCTCAGACAACCTCCTTAATTTGATACCAGAGCCTTCAAAAGCAAGCTTTGAGAGTGCAAGCTGATCTCCAGTTCACAGAAATCATTACTGAAACCAAGAGGAGCATTGGTTTTATTGGTCATACTTGACCAGATTGGTGATCCATCTACTTAATAACATAACATAACTGTGACTTTAAACGAACTTAGATATTTCAGAGCAAGGTGTGAGAAACCTTGTAGAAGGCGGTTAAGTAAATAGTTTGTTGCCAGTCAAGGATTTCATTATCCAGATGTGTAAATAGGGCTCAAAATCCAAGTGTTTACCTTGGAAAGAATGTCGTCTTTCTTCTGTTTGCAATGTTTTGGGACATTCTTAGCCAAAAATCTATCTTAGCCCTGCTCTAACTGTCAAGATTGTGTCTTTCACAACTCATAGCAATGAGTTCCTTTGGCTTTGTATGCCCTAAAGAACGGTTCTTTGTAATTTTGAATTGCCAAGCATTGAGGAACAGAGAATGGTGGTACAAAGATGGGCATGTTTTTTACTGTCACAAGAGTAAACTTTTATTTCTTTCCTTTAGGAGAATAAGCTCATAAATGTAAGCAGAAGATGAACCTAACTGTGATACAAATTCTGTCATGACTTTCAGTTATAATTTCAAGAACAGTATAATTTTGGTAACCATTTCAAGAAACAGTTTCAGAATTCACAGCATGTCTATTGTGACAATAGATATATATCTTTGTGTTTGTGTGAAGAAGTCACACAGAGAAAGAGATAAAAGTAGGCCTAAGATTTTATTGCCTGTCTGGTTATCTCATGCATTTGGATGGTATTCTCCAGGACAGTTCAGCTAAAGGACCCTTTTTATATGTTGACTTTAAACTGAGATTTAAGCTTTCAAACAGCATCCTCCAAACTAGACAATCTGTTGTTCAGATTAAAGCAGCTAAAGCCTCTACTGAGCTTGCAAAGGGAGATAAGAAATCAATCCTTGTATCAGGTTCTCTAAATAACAGATTTCTCCCTCCGACTTTACTCCAGAGGCAATGCCATTTTCTCTTTCCATGTTTTAAAGATCAGAGATGAAATTAAAGGTTGGGTGGGGTGGGGTTTTTTACTCTTTGATTTTAAGTTTCTTAGTTGTAACAAAAAATTACATACACATGTAATAGGACATTTAAGATAGATGATAAGAAGATTTTGCATGCATATAGCATCTGAAGACTGTTATGCTAATCAGAACATTTCTTTGGCTCAATAGGGATAAGATGCTAACAAACACCCTTTATTGATAAAAACATAGTTTATGGGTTTTTTAGGTAGAGTTGTATCTAAATTACCCTCCATAGAAAAGCTATATTAAAATATATAGCCTCCTAGTCAACACAAATAAAAATAAAACATCTTAAAACCTAAATAATTCAGTAGTGCTCAATTTAAAAGTTTTCATTAATCCCTTTAGCTAAATGAAGAAAACAGCACCTTTGAAAGCTTTGTTAGCTGGTCTTAATTATTACCTTTTTTTTTGGGGAAATGGCAAAAATGAGTTTAAATGCTTCTGAGCTGTTTTTGTTGCTCATGTTCAGTAGTAAAGCAGATAAAGACAAAAGGCAAAAAAAAGGAAAGAGCAGGAAAGCTAGCAAATGCAAATTTCTGTCCCCCCAGAGCTGATTGTCACTTGCAAGTTTCTCTCCCGTGGACAGACTATCAAAGTGTGCAGCATCACTGCACTTTTCTAGACCTGTTCCACTATTCACCCAACTGGAAGTAGCCTTTCTAATCACAATTCACAGCAACGGCCCTCTCATGACAACTGGTGGGCAAACTAGATTCTTACCATGTAAGTGGTGGAAAGGAAAAGAAAAAGGGAAGCTGAAAGAGACAAAAGAGTAAGGTAGAAGGAAAATGATGAATAAAGGAAAAAAAAGATGGTAGAAACAAGACTGTCATCTTCCTGGCTTCAAACCACTCTCTCATCCTTACACTGGGAGCCACTGCACACAAGCAGGCTGTATCACGTTCAAAGAGCAGTCGTTATCTCAGGTGGCTAGTTTTCTGGGGTTTGTATTTCAAACACAGTAATCCTAAAAGGAATAAAAGGCTCACATCTGAAATGTTTTCAGAAGTTGGCCAAAGCACCTGGCAGTAGCTAATGAATTCTCTTGGACCTCCCTCTCTTGCCTGGTTTGGAGATGATGCCAAAGATCACACAGCAGCACACAGCGTAGGGCTGTGAGGAGCACAAGAGCCATACGGCCAAGTTCATTTCCTTCAGTCCCATTGATCCCTTCAGTAATCAACATCCAAGAGATGTTGGCCATGGGGACCAGTGATCCGAGCCAGCTACCAGAGGGACAGGTGTCTAAGAGTCAGTTACTGGGAAGACCATATGTCTGGGCCAGCTACTGGGAAACTCACGCCCATGGAACAGGAAGAGGCAACCAAATCGGTTGTGAACCCTGGGGGCTCGCATGTCTGGGTGTCAGCAACTGGGGAGAGCAGGGAGATCTGGGGCCAGCTACTGGATTAGACTGTCTAAGCACAACTACGGAAGCAATCAAGTGTTTTGATAATATATATAAAAATACATATACATATGTGTGTGTGTGTATATTCTACCAGCAGACTTTGATCCTGATCAGGCAGAGAGGAGTAACAGGCTGTTTGTGCTGTGTTTTGTGGCGATGTTGCATGTTTGTGTGTATGCTGATAAGATACTGCTTTCTGCCTGTGTTGATTTGTTGATATTCCTATCAGGAATACACTGTCCACCTCTCTAATGCCTGAACCTAGGGACACGGAGCCACAGCAGCCTTGCATTCATAACACTACTGGATTCAACAGCCTGTAACAAGGACGACCATGCAGCTGCCTGTTTTTAATCATTGTTTCTTCTTTTTCTACCACAGGGTTAAGAACATTTTCTGTCCATTCACATATTACCTCTGTTTTCAGTAGAAAGAACAGAAGGACCCTGACAGCCTGAGAAAGGTTTCTTGTGTCTTCTAACCACAGACATTCATTTATTTCAAGGTTGTATTTGAGGCTTGTAAACCTGAAGCATCATCATACAGACATATTGCCCCTAAAAAACTACCTAGATTACTCTCTTCATCTTGACATACAAAAAAAAAAAAAGGAAGGAAGACATCTTCAGATATCATAGTAATAATGTGTTTAGATAACAATATGTTGTTACAAATATTTTTTTATGAAAAATCTATCCTGACTGAGGAAGGTAAAAGTAATTCCTCTGGTACAGATACAACAAAAAGTACAGGCTGACAGATTCCTCTAAATCAGAAAGTACTTAAAAATGGAATTCCTTCATTCAAACCCCAAATATGCTATGCTTTACCTTGACAACTCATTTGGTAGACTAGCTTTGCCCATAAGATAAGATAACTGAAAACAACAAACTGTGGGAAAAAACAGGATTACCATTCTATTTCTTTCAAGAACCTGTTATTGAACTTATCAAAGCTGTAACTCCAAGCCGGTGACTTTCAGTAGTCTCTTCCCTTCATATTCCCACAGAACCCCAAATTGTTGTATTAGGGATGTTATAGGGTCTACCCTTGCCTGGGCATTGTAATACTTATTTATGAACCTGTTATCTATGAATTTGTGTATAGCCTTCATGAATCTGATAACATTGTCTACCTCCACAGCTTTGTGACAGCAGATTTTAAAAGTTCACCACTGACTGTCTTAGGAAGTACTTTCTTCCATTTGTTGACAACTGACCTCCTACTTGTTTCACTGAATGTCCCTAGTTTGAATATTGTCGTATTTGATGATTCATGCACCTTGTCCACCACCATCATTATTTTATAAAAATTAATCATACATACAGACACATCCTCTAGTATTCTCTCCAAACTAAGGAGTCCCAGCCTTTTTAGCTTCTCTTGGCCAAGCAGCTGCTTAATTCCTTTAATCATTTTAGTTGCCCTTCTCTGTCCATTTTCCACACCTACTGTGTCCTTCCCGAGTTGTGAAGGCAAGAGCTATGCAGCATACCCAAAATACAGCACATCAAGGTTTTAGACAGCAGTGAAACAGCACATGCTGGCTTTATCTCTCCACCCTTCCTGGTGATGCCCAATATTTTTTTGGCACTTTTGGCTGTTGCTGCACATTATACTCATGAGTTCAGGGAAATACCAGCAGTAATGTCAAGATGTGTTTCCTGCATTGTAACCGCCAGTTCTGGGTTCACTGTCATGTACAGATGCTTAGATAATTTTTCCTTGAATACATCCCCTTAAATTTACCCACACTGAAGCTCATCTGCCATGTTTTGGCCCAGTTTTGTAAGGTCCTTCTGGATCTTCCTTCCATAGCACAGTGTATGACAATCTGGCAGAGTTTAGTACCATCTGCAAACCTAGATATTTCCCTGCCCTCTTCCTTCTCCATGTCATCGATGAAAATACTGAATAAAACTGGTCCCAGCCTTGAGCAGTGAAAGACCCTACTGCTGATTCTTCCATTCTGAAAAGCCAGCATTAAACATCCAATCTTTGCCTTTAACCAGTTTTCCTCTAAACCTGTGGCAACTTCATTTCTTTTAACAATCCAATGTGGAACCTCAGCAAAGGTTTTTGAACATCCAAAGGCTTTGTGTGCACCAAATCCCCAAAAATCCATGCACCCACTGACGACCTTCTAGGACAGCAACAGGTTGGTGAAGCAGGGTTTCTATTCACAGAAGCCAAGCTCTTTCCTGACAAAATACTCTATACTTAGCTAAATACTTAAGGATCTTATTCCTTCTTACAGAACCTACCATTTTACCATGACAGAGGTCATATGCATTGGCTTGAAGTTCCCCAAATCACTTCTGGAGCACATTTTGCAGGTAGAAATTTTGCTGGCACCTTGCCAGTGCCCTCACACAATGGCTATTCACAAGAAAATACTGATGTCCCATTCATATTTTAAAATAAAATAGAAAAGAACCAAATGACAGATCCCACAGTTAATAAAAATAATCTCACATTCCATCCTGCCTTTTGAAAAGTTGAAGTAAACATCAAATACACCAGCAAGTTTGTCTTTTGCCTTTTTCTAAAGAAATTGATTTAAAAAAACCCCCACAATCAACCAACATAGAAGTCAGCACAGAAAAGTCTCCTGAACAGATACATCATATCACACTCAGAAGGCTGAACTGCCTTTAAGTTATTTAGTTATTGTACAACTAATGCACCTTTTGGCCTTTGGTGGAGGATTAATTCACACAATTAACTGTGATTGGTATAATGGCTCTCTGTAAACACCTGTGTTCCCAATTCCACCCTGGTTATATCCAAAATTATTTTATACAGTACATAATCCTAATGGATATGTAACATACGCATAGCTGAGCATACTAATCTGCCTCAGTATATAGTGTTTTGTTTCACTTTGTCTTTATCTACCTTCTGTGAAAGCTAAACTTTTTATACTTCCTTCCTTACTTATAACTTGACATAGATTGTTTTAATGATTATATGCCGTTTAACTACTATATACAAAGTCTGAGTGTATTATTACTAAAGGAAGCTGATTTTCATAGATCCCAAAGGTTTTCTTGCTAATACTGATACAAACTTATTGCATCACCTGAATATCTTATGTTTGGAATCAAAAATTAGTTTCTCACTTCAAAGACGTGAAAAGGTATAGTAATAGAAAGGGGAAAACTGGTAAAATACACTGCCACCTCCAGGGGCTTATTTAGGCTTTGCTGTGATCTATTCTCTCATTTAGAGGCATCACTTCTCAAATCAATCGAGTTAGGCTCCTTCAGAGGAAAATTTTGCTTTTGAAGAATTGGATACATTTAATTGTGACCAATAGGATAAGCACAGCAAACCAAGAATCACCAGGGCTAGCTGGGTGCAACTTACAACAAGAGAGAATTTATCTGCGAAAGTCTTGCAATGTGCTTCAGGCAGTCTTTGGTTGGCTCTTCAAGATCACCTCTTCTTTCTTCAGGTTCAGGTTTAATGAACTCCAAACTAGTTTCTGGAAAGTCAATCTAGAAAGGAAAAGAAAGGAAAAGAAAGGAAAAGAAAGGAAAAGAAAGGAAAAGAAAGGAAAAGAAAGGAAAAGAAAGGAAAAGAAAGGAAAAGAGAAAATAAAAAAGAAGAGTAAAGAAAAGAAAAAAGAAAACAAGAGGCATGAGAAAAGGGGGGGAGAGAGGGGAGAGAGGGGAGAGAGGGGAGAGAGGGGAGAGAAAAGAGAAGTCTTTTTAGCAATGTGTATTCTCAGATACAACTGTCAATAAATGTTATCTTGGATTTGTACAGGAAGTATACAAAATATGAGAGAAAGAAGAGGGCATAATTCTTTGAGGTTGTTCACTGTATGTAATATATTACTTAAATATGTTGGTGATAAACTCAGCCCACAAAAATCAGCAGGAGCTTTGTCACTGACTTTCCTGGGAGAATGTCATCCACTGTATTTAAGTTTTATTAGAACTCCATGAACTCAAAGATGAAGATATTTTTCCATTTTTCCTCCTTTCCTGGTTTTTAATGAGATGGTTCTTAAATGTAAAGCTTCGATTAATATAGATTTGTTTGTTTGTTTTTTCTGAAAAAGTAGGGATAATTCTGATGTGTAGTTTGCCAGTGTAAGAGATAGAAAACAGATTCCTGATTTCAATTCTGGCTGTTCAATTTCATATATATTGTACAGCATCGAGCAATTTTTCATTCTTTACACTTACATATGGGTATCAAAAATTTAGGGTAATGTTTTTAAGATACAGAGAAAGAAAACATTCGACCAAAATTAAAAAGCTTGAGGTGCTTGATAATCTGAACACAGACTTTGCTGAAAATTCAGGTTGTTCTTCAAAATTCAGCTCAATTTGGTTTATTAACACACACCATAATCTCTTATCTATATCTATTTTTTTAATGTATGTATTTGATATGCATCACTCTTCTAATGGTTAACAAAGTTATTCCCTACAAAACGTGTCTTGTCGGTCACATCAGAAAAGCTATCTTTATGACATTTCCAGCATGTTCACAAATCATGATACTTTCACATGCATGGGAATAACTGAAAATGAGGTGATCCTCCTGTTCTGTTTCTTTCAGCAGAGAGAGATTATGATAAATTAATAGCCATTTACTGTCTCAACTTCCCTTTATTATTAATAGGGGGAGCTATTTTAAGGTGTCGTCTTTGATTGAACTCCTCAGACTAGAAAATCCCCATTTGCTTGTCTATTAAAAATAGGCTATTTTTAGGCCAGCCTCATTTATCTGTATTATCTGCTTTTACATGTCATTTGCTAATAGTCATTCAGCTTTTTAGTACAGAAAACAATTGGCTTTGCCCTTGAAATATCCAGTTGCTAATTTAACCTGGAAAGGTTACAAAACTACCACATAGACCTAATGCATTTTCAATACTGTGAGCACCATTCTGCCCAGAATGAGTGGGCGCTCAGCATGTAGTCATCAAGGGAGAGCTATAATGATGCATATTGACAATTGCTTGTAGCCACTTCCTTTACAAATCCTTTATGCTATTCAGTCTAATTGAAAGCTGTATGTTACACTTATAATGGCATGCAATTCAATAGTACTCAGAACAAAAGTTCAGATTTGAAAAGGCAGCTGTAAGTATGGTACCAAACCATTAATCTGTGTCAGAAGTATTTTTGGAACCAAAATTATAACAACAAAAATTACCCTAGAAAAACCTTCTCTACCCCTCAGAGGTGTTATTTGATATGGAAAGTATCCTACATATTTGCCACTGTGCAGAATTATTGACTTCCATCCATTAAGATTAACATGCTGTCTTTGAGTGGCTATAATGGAAATAGGATTTTTAATTTGTGTGGTCTTGATGAGCTGTGGGAACAATCCTTTTTCTTGCACTTTGTTAGATAATAACCCTTCCCTTTGCTTTCTTGCTTTCTTACCTGTAATATTACTGAGGTTGGTGTATCAGTACTGCAGATGCCTGGGGTAATCATTGTTGTTGTAAGCGTACTGCACAATGTCATGCTAAGCAGCACAGTTCCATGAACGAGCCGCCTGCAATACACACAGACAGAAATACTACATCAGTACTGGAGACAAGGTGAATGGGGTTTATTGAAACTACATCAAAGAACATGAAACTGAATAGCTTAAAATACAAGCAAAAGGAGAACAACCCTTTTATCTTTATGTGGCTAATACAAAACTGGCCTAGATCAGTAGAGGTTGCATACTGATGGCCTCACTGCTATAGTGGCATCAGTACAGTTGCAGGGATCATGACGCAAATCACACTGCCAAGACATTCGAGGTCAGCTCTGCACTTTACGACTGATGTCTTATGTAACAGGGGTTGCCATTTAAGCTAGGTGTCAAATAAAGATAATACTGTATTTCTATCTCAAGATTTAATTTTGAGGGCAAATGTGTTAGAGATAGTGAAGTGTCAACACACTGTATAAGGTGGAGGGCAGTATACATTTATTCCACAAAAAGAAGAAACTCATGGCAACCTACTGCAACCAAGAAGGATCTTTGCTGATTTTATGTGTAGATGGCAGGGAAGAGGGAATATGATATCAGTCTCCAGAGAGCTGAAAGCAGTTTGAGTGGGATAGTTTGTACCACATATGCTGCATGTACTTTTTGGACAGATGCAAGATTATGGTCTGAAGTACCAGTCTAAGCACTACATGTACAAGAAAGTCTTATCAGAAACAGGCATGCATGTGGTCTGCAGATAAGAAAACCAGCATGATTTGGCAGGTCAACACAATTCAGTCTAGAGAACTTGAATAAAATCAGAAAGTTCAGGTGTAAATTCTAATCATAACGAATCCACTCAAATTAAGTATACAGCACCCGGATAAAGGAAGATACAGTATGCTGGACTTACCCTTTAATTTGTCCACATCTTAATGGTTAGTGAGGTCAGAAATCTGATTATGTTCAACATCTCTTCTTTTACTGACAAATAATTTCTATTATGATCGTTTCAAGCACAGCTCAGTCAAAACAACTGAGAGAATGAGCTAGATTCTCTTCTGCCCTTTTGCAACAGAAACAGCCAGCCAGGCAGGTGAGTTTTGAGTGCACAGCTTTTACCTGAGATGAGGATCTTAGAGGTACAAGAGAACGCAGATGGACCTTTTGATCCCAGCAAAAGTTTGCAACTTTGCTGTAAGAAAGCACCTTTTGAATTGCAAGCTGAAATAAATTATTGCTAAGTCATCTGAGGAAGAAATAAGAAACTCCCGCAAAGTCATTTTTATAGTCAACACTCAGTGTAAACCTAATTAACAGCTAATTTTTCTTTTTCACTTCTCAAGCTATTCAAGTTGTTAGTGCAAACGTTTTATTTTATTGCGAGAACACAGCTCAGGAGGATTAAAGACTAAACCATTTTCTGAAGTTTCTTTTGCAGCTGTAGGTGCATTTGCAGGGGAATGGAGGCAGAAAAAGGAGCTGTGATGTGAACAAGATAGCAATCGGGAAAGCAGTTGTGTGATATGAAGTTTTTCACATTTAGGTCAGTGATGTGAATGTGGAAGTGACCAATGGTGATTCAAAGTTGTTTTTCGGTGATGTGTACTCGGATGCCCTTTAATAAATGAGTCGCATCTCTTCAACCACTCCTTTATTGACATCATAATGTGAACTAATTGGCACTTTTATTAGAAGGGAGAGGAGTAGCTGAGAACTGAATGAACACAAAGATTAAATTACCCTTTTGAGCTCTCATTACTGCTAATCACTTTCATATTGTGCTCTAAAACTACAGCGGGCTTTAAAAAAGAATACATACAGTGGATTTTTTTTCCTGGGAAACCTGTATAGACAAATACAAGTAGCACAGACCTCAGAGGCACTGTAAATGTATTTAATTGAGACATTTCCTGAGGTCATTATTTCAACTCATTTGCACCCAGTATGGATGTGGCTACAAACTGCCCAAGAAGATAAGGAAGAATCAGCAGGTGGGCTTCTCAGAGTCCTCAACTAGAGAAACAGCAAGTAAAGCAATGTATCTTTGCCAGACTGAGAAGACTTCACATGTTAAAGCAGATCACAGAACCGTGAGTAAAACCAAAGACATTAAACAACTTCAATAGTATGGAGATGTTATCTCCTAAGAAAACAATGAATTTGTTTTAAAAACTAGACACATATTTATGCCTTTTATACAGAGTAGCCTAATTTATACATTTACAAACAAGTGTGCAACTCATGTATCTTCCATCAGTAAGTCGCTCTTTGGGCTAAGGCTAGTCTGTAAACACAGGAGGCATTTTTAAAAAGATGTGAAGAGGCATTGACAACTGTTAAATACGGTGTATGTTTTTGAGGCACAGCTTTCGCTAGCAATTTTGGGGGCACTGTATGCGCTGCACAGCTAACATTCTTCAGGACCAAGTCTGCTTTTGGACACACAAATGAAACAGTAACAGGGGCCATGCAGGTGAATGAAACAGTAAAAAGATGCATTGTTATTTTTAGAAAAAGGGAAAGAAGCAGGACTGTGTGCAGGATCCAGTCAGAAAAGGAAGGAGCTAGCATCATGAGCATGATAACCATAACCTTTCCTGAATGGACAGATTCCTCTATTACCTGGTTCTGCTGATGAGCTCAAGCAGGTCACTCTCCGTTCTGCCTGCCAGTTTTTCCCATCTGTAAGGTGATGGTAGTGATACTGACCTTTGTAAAGATTGTATAATGATCACAGCCATAGACAATGGCTTCCATGTAGCAACTTCAGCATCAAGCACATCAGAAGGTGAATAAACAAGTGCTGTTCTGTGCCTACTGCCATTTAGTTATTTATATGTTCATGCAAAACCAGGGCAGATGGAAACTCCTGGAATTATACAGATTCCCAGCTCTTGTTTATTACAGGAGCTACAATAAACTTCCCATCTTATTACAGCAGAAAAGGACACTGCTATTTAGGGACAGCTCAAGTTACCCTAACTTAACAAAATCAACCTTGTGTCCTGAAGTCACATGAGAGACTTCCCTCACCACACCCAGCAAGAAGAAATTTTTGTTGCTTGCTCTGTCTGATTTGGAAATACCAGTTCAAAATAAATTGTGTTGTAAGAATCAGTGAAGTCAGAGCAATGGGCACTGTGGGGGACATTACAACTCCCAAATTGCCCCCAAAGATGGATTGCTGATTTGTTAATTAGCTCTGGATCACTAAACTATTCAGCCCGAGAGACAAACACATTTTTCGGATGTGAAGGAACGGAAAGTTGGCACACAGGCTTGCAAACACTTTTTGAACTGCCTTCTGCATCTAATAAGGCTTCTTGATACAGATGCATCATCAAGGGCTTTATCGGCCTTGATTTAGGGCCACTATCTAAAGTCAACTACCTGATAAGGGTGAGAAATGGGGTTAGGGAAGCTCACCTACTGGACAAGTTGGCAGCTACAATCATTATTACCGTGTTCATTCCCAAACGTATATCACATTAGAGTAGAGTTATGGTTTAGACTGGATATACCAGGAAAATAAGAACAAAATATCATGTAAAAATAATGTAATTATCCCCAAACCTGACATTATAAGCCTCAGAAATTCAGACCTGAGGTTAAATTTAAAGGAAATCCAAAACTGCTAAGCTATAAAAAACCCCATATCTTATGGCCCAAGCAGTCTTAATTCTGCATTAGAATGATACTGTGAAATAACTACTTTATTATAATTACAAATACTACTAAATTCTAGAAAATTCAAATTAGAGATATAATTTTCATCTGCGAAGTAATGCTAAATGTCCTACAGACATTTGTAAGGGCCACATCTTCCATGCCCACAGTTTCTAGTTTAAATAACTTCCATAAATGTGAAGGTGCAGAATACAGCAAATACAAAATTATCAGATTATTCCAAACTTTTAAAACAAATTTGCAGTTTTGTTCCTGATTCTTTCCTAATTTTTGCCCCAAAACATAAAGTTAAAAAATAAGTTTACAAGCAATAATTTTAAGGTAAACAACTACATTTAGGCAAAGATTGGAGAATATTTACAGGCAGTTTTGTAAAGAGTGAGACTATTTCTACAGAAACATGTAAAGTTGATAAACAGTAATCCCAACACACATTTGATAAGGAGTGTAGTGGTTGCCACGTGTATCCATCAGCTAGTCATGTCATCAATCAGCACATTGCAAGACAACTGTCAGAATAGTGAGAGATATTACTAGAATTCAGAAAATAATGTAAATTAAGCAAATTTAAAATTCACTAAACATCTATTCACTGACAAGTCTTTAATGACAACAACAACCCCCCCAAAACTAAACAGGCCAAATTCTTGGGAACATTTTTAGGTATGGTGTGGTTTCAACATAGGCAAGGTAGGGAGAAGAGATTGCAATAAGAAATGCTAAAGAATAAGTAATATGCTTTATTTAAACAGTTGGGGTTTGCTTCTACTTTTTTATATATTTTTCATACACTCTGCTTAGTCACTATTTTTTTAGAGAAGAACTGGAGTGTTAAAATCTCAGAAAATAGCTACAGCCCTTTGATCTGGCAAGGGACTTTGACATGGTCTTGCCCAAAAGCATGAGAAACTCTTCACACTTCTTGAAACAGATGAAAGGAATTTGTATACTTTAGGTGTTAAAATAAGTTCAGTCTTTCTTAATCTTCAGTTCAAATTAAACATAAAGAATTAAACTATGAAGGACAAGAGCAACGATAAAATGACAATAACCATTTTGGAAGAGAAAATAGATATCAAATTTACAGAGAGGAGTTAATTCAGAGTCTTTTAAAATAAAGTGTTCTTTTGCCCTAGGTCATTCAAAGATCAAGATTCCTAAGTAATATCTGGGAATAACCCAAAACTGATTTTTTTTTTTCCCCTTCTCTTTTTAACATAAGCCACAAACTGCTTGAACAGAATTCTGTGGTTTTTATCAGAATAAGATTTAATGGGACAGAAATGAGGAACTCTATTTTTAAAATGTTTGACTTATTTTCTTTTTCCAATGTTTAACAAAAACATATATATTTTTTTTTTTTTAACAAGCATTTGAATAGAGAAAAAGAGGCCACTCTCTGTCCTTATGCTGACCCTGAGAAGAACGGCTCAGTGACCAACTAGGACAAGGATTTGAACAAGGATGTTTGACGACCCAGGCAAATATCTCAGGGCTACTGGTTTCTTCAAAGAGCTTATTTCTGTCCTTTCCTTTATAAATTAAACCCTAGACATGAGAATGTTAAGACTTTTTTAGAACTAAAATTCACCTTTGAGAAAAGTTTTGTTTTGAGAAAGTGATATTTTCCAAGTTAGAAATGTTTTGCCAAAGATTTTCTGGTCAGATTTCTTTAATCTCTTTATATACATTTACAGAGTTTGCTCATTTAGAGACCCTAATGCCATAACCTTTGCAATAATACAAAGTACTCTTGACACATTAGCATGACACTACAGGTACAAATCTTTTCTTGGTACATACTTTCAAGTTCAGAAGTACTCTGAAATTGAAATAAGTCTTGAAGTTAGTTGCATTCCAGCAGTGAGGGGAGTGAAGTTGGGTTCATTGCTCAGTTCATTAATGTTTTCCACGAAACTGCTGAGTCAAATAAAACAATTACTAACTTTTAATTTTTTTTTTTTTGTGGAGCAGGAAACAGCCTCTCAAAGTCTTACTGTTGCTTTTCAATTACTTCAGCTAACTGATAGCATTACCTATTAAGAATCACCTGACAGTTTTAATCCTGCTACTTTCTAAGTAGGTAACCCTGAGAGCTAGTTTACCAAAAAATATTCATGATCTTCCAAAGAAAAGGAATAGCGGGCTGGGTGAATGTTCAGATATTTTCAAGTTTTGCATTTCAGAAGGAATTTCAGACCTATCCTTATTTTTAAACCAGTCTATCAATTGAAATCATGGTGAATGAATAATTCTGTGGAGTCATGGTTGGCTACAAGAGGAAAAAGCATTTAGGTTTCTTTGTAATTACTTAGTAATAACATAGTAATTACTATAATTGTAACACAGCTATCAGATTAGGAGGTGTTGAACATGTTATTCCTAAATCATTCCTCCCCAACAACTCAACTTCTATTTCTGCTTTGAAGGGTCATTTCAGCAATGATCTTTACAATTATACAGCAGATGAAAGGAAAGTAGCCCTCTATCCCCTTCATTGTGTTGGTCATCTGTACCCTGAAAGAATGGAGCCATTTTTCAGCAAAATTTTCAAAACTGCCTGGATGATTTGGAGATCTACCTAATGAAAATCAACATGCTTGCTCCCATGGTGTACATTTAAAAAATATACATCACAGGGAGCTAAGGGCTTTCAGATCTTCCAAAAATCATTCCTTTGGGACTTGAACCATGAAACATAAGAAAACCTCTAGTACAATACAGGTCCTCAAGAACAGGATTCTCACGTATCCCATTTACCTCCAAAGGTGCCTAAGTGTTCCCCAATTAAATTATCATGCCTAATGCTCTGCTTCTGAATGTAGTCAGCACATATCAACTTGCTGGGGACATCTTAACACTTCATCTCAAGTTAGACTCTCAGCCAAGATATTCCCTCTATTTCACCCTAATCACCACATGATGGAAATACTCAAACATAATGCATGTTTTGTTTAAAAAGATACACACAATGGAAGAGTGATGTGCTTTTCTTCAGACTATGAAAAAAAAAAAAAATCATTGAATGAAATACCCAAGCAATCCTTGGAGCAGAGATTTGATTCATGTTTGTTTCCTTCCTTCAGACTAAGTGCTCTAATCACTAAGTCACAGAAGAATGCTCTCTTTTTCTGAACAGAGTAATCTTGAATTTTCTTCTGAAAAGATGGAAAAAGCTTCTACCCCAGTCCAACCCATTTTCCAGTGTTTTAAGCCTCTCAGCTTAAAAGTTGAATGGAACCCAAGGTCTTTCAAACATAGTAAATTCATACATGCAATCAGATTTTTTGGTTTTGTTTTGTTTTAAATGATGTTTGCCACCATATAGAGAAGTAGATGAAGATGTCTCAAGAGGAGGAAAGAGCTATAGCTTAGAGATGGATAATGCAGAAACCTATGGGCAATAGATGGATACGTTCAAGCCCCAGAAGGCATGCAGGGCTATGGAGTCTAGATAAAAATTAAGTATCATTGTAAAGGCTTAGTCTAAATTCAGATGTCTGAGTGCTACTAAGATATATTTAAAGCACTGCAGAAAATTTACCTTAGATGTCTGTTTATGCATCACTGCAGAGACATTCAAGACTACAAGTATCTCTAAACCACTGTTACATTGTATGCCGTGTAGAAAGAAGAGGTTAAAAAAGACGAGAAATCTTCTAAAGTGGCGTGTAGAGGGAAAGGTGCTCATTGTGGTCATCCCTAACTGCCCCACTCTGAGCAGAATGAATGGGTGTGAAAAGAGAATGCAGACTTAAAAAAAACCCAGCCATTGTTAACAAGAGGCTATGCTGAGAAGGATTTTGCAAAGCTACAGGAAAGTGTACAGCAAGGCCTTTCAACAGGCCTGGGGAACCTTACTGTAAGAGTTAAACAGTTACATAAGCCAAGTTCAAAAACAATACATTGGAAAGAAAGAAAATCTTATGGATGGGGCTCTTACCAGCACATCAAGAGCAGTTTACTGTAAGTGACTGTCTCAGTCTTATTACAGCAAGGTCCTGAAATGAGTATTTCTGTCTTTATATATTTCTCCCAAGTTGAGTGCGATACTGTTTAAGAATGGTCTTCTCTTAAGCTGTCGTACAAAACTGAACTTACTCTTTTGGATACAATGGGGAGCATGTCCAAGCAAGCACTTCTGTATTTTTAGAGGCACTGTTTACTCCAAGTAGTTTTACTGTCAGCATGGTTTCCCTCGGAAGAGCCTTTATTCGTAGAGGAAAGTTGATTCTAAAAGAAAATCAGAAAAGAGAAAAATAAAAGTTAAAAAAATTGAGCATTGTTACCACAAGTGAGTTCTTTCTACATTTTTCTAGATGCCTTAACACATATCAAGCTGTAAATTACAAGAGTTGCACTCTGAAGGAAAATGCAACTGACAGGTCCCTCTGACATATTGATGAGTATTGCCATCCATTAACTTGGGTCATAGTATTTGAGAAGAGGCATATAAAAATTCATTCACTTCAGTGGTAACCACTAGAGCTGACATAGGTGGGAAAAGCTTAGTTAAACTTTTATTTTAGAATTACCTTATCAATGAAGGGCTATTTCGGAATAAGCATCCCCTAAGGGTGAATTGTAAACCAATAGTTATTTGCTGTCTTGTGTCTTCAGAGGAAAACACTACTTAAGAAACTAAGATTTGCTTGTGAGTAGAGTAGAATAATCATTCTCTTCTTCAAATGTGCTTTCCCTGTCCCATGCCCTCTTCCTCACTCATAATTAGAAACAATTATTGGGAAACTGAACTGGTTTACAGGCTATAGATAGCTTGTTCTTTTTCACTTACAGGCCAACAACTCGGCCCATGTTACATAAAACTGTTCAATGAAGGGTTACACTTAACTTTAAAGCACCATTAATGCTGTGAAGAGACAAAAATAAAAAAATCAAGACATGCATATTCTAATACAGACAATTGTTAAAAATCCTTGTGAACCTGGAACAATAAAAAAACCTCACAATATCCTCACTGCAGAATGCAAATGCTTGCCAGACATTTGCTAGGACACAATATATAGCATCACCAGATGTACACCAGTAGGAAAAGAACCTAGAAACTTTGACAAGAGTTAGACATCCCAAGAGTTAAAGTATGGGCCAGAGAGGATTAAAGTTTCCCTTCCAGTGACATGTGATACACAGAGAAGGGGAATATCTGTATTGCTTTTAAGAACTTTGATTAATGCATATCTGAGCTTACCCAGTTGGTATTATCCTTTCTGACAGCATGAAGCTGTCAAATGGATGACTAAGAAGAAGAAATGGAACAGTGGCCAGAAATAAGACACCCTGTGGGTGAACAGTTTCAACAGTAGTTGAGAAGAACAGAGAAGCTACTCACTGATAAGGTGCTATTCACAGATGTTAGATAAAGTTATACAGCTGGTTTCTAAGGCCAAGGGGCTAATACCATAAAAGCACTCAACACAGAAGACCTCTGGGGCAACACAGTCTTTGCCCTGTGAGAGTATAAACAAAATAGACAAGCCAAACAAAGTATGGAGAAGAGGGAAGCCCAAAGCCAAGAAAGTATCTGAGGTGATGAATGGTAGGGCTTAATGTTAATTGCATATTTCACGTCCATAGGTTTAACATAAATTGCAGAGGATGGAAAAAGAAATGGTGTGTGCTGGTAGTGCGGATGGACCAACTAGCTCAGTCAGTAAAGCATGGGACTCTTAATCCCGGGCTCGTGGGTGCGAGCCCCATGTTGTGTGCCAAAAAGGACTGTCATGGTTTAACCCCAGCTGGCAACTCAGCCCCACACAGCTGCTTGCTTGCTCACTCCCCCCTGCTCCAGTGCAACGGAGGAGAGATTCAGAAGGATCAAAGTGAGAAAACGCATGGGCTGACACAAAGACAGTTTAATAGGTAAGGCAAAAGCCGTGCACACAAGCAAAGCAAAACAAGGAATTCATCCACCACTTCCCATGGGCAGGAAGGTGTTCAGCCATCTCCAGGACAGCAGGGCTCCAGCACCTGTAATGTTGACTTGGGAAGACAAATGCCATCACTCTGAACATTCCCCCCTTCCTTGTTCTTCTCCCAGCTTTCTATGCTGAGCATGACGTCCTATGGTCTGGAATATCCCCTGGTCAGTTGGGGTCAGCTGTCCTGGCTGTGTCCCCTCCCAACCCCTTGTGCCCCCCCAGCCTCCTCGCTGGTGGGGTGAGAAAAGCAGAAAAGGCCTTGACTCTGTGTAAGCACTGCTCAGCAGTAATGAAAACGTCCCTGTATTATCAACACTCTTTTCAGCACAAATCCAAAACACAGCCTCATACTAGCTACTATGAAGAAAATCAACTCTATCCCAGCCAAAACCAGCACATGGTGGAATAAATATATTAAAAGCAACCAGCTAAGACAAAAGAAAGAAAATAATTAAGAGGTCTCAGTCATTGAAAAATGAAACTAATGAGAAAATAAGGGTGGCAACTTTTGGACACATCACATGCTAGATATATCAGTCTGTTCAAACTCTGCACCAAGTTGACAATCACACCACTTTCAAAAATAACACACAAGTTCTAAAGCAAAAAGTATACTCTTAAAAAAGGACAAACGGAAGAAACACTACGCAAAGCAATCTCCTTAGGTATCAAATGATTCCCATCTTTTCTGAGAATATTCTGGGAAAGACTAAATGTGATAAAAGACTTCAACAGAAGCTCATGTTTAAACACAAAAACCTATCAAGTTAAAGTTCAGACAATAACTGGTTAAAATACTTGAAAACACAAACTAAATACATGAAAATCAGCAAATAAAGCAAGTTTTGTCTTTGTTAGTGTTGTGGTTTAACCCCTGTCTTCCTAGATGCCTAATCAACAAAACACCACTCTCCATTTTTCTGCGTTGTTCGAGTCAATCCTAATCTAAGATCCTGACTCATTTTGAATTATTTTTCAGCCTGATTGATCCTTAACTGTATAGAGAATATTTGACTTCCTAATGTAATAGAAGCTCCTGCTGATGTTTTACCACATGCATTTTCAATGGCTGCGACCAACTGAAAATAGCTTATGGGTTAGAACAAAAGTAGCACTTTAACTCAAGGCAAGAAACTTTACAAAAAAGAAATTGTCTCCTCTGTAAACTTTTTATGCAAACATATTCCCTTCCATTTCCAAAAGGTGATGTTATAGCCAAAAGATAACTAAGAGTGAACATCGCTTGGTCACAGTTTTGAGTGACTCAGACTTCGTACGATAGAAAATGGTGCCACTTGATGACATGGAAAAACAATTGCAGTAATACATACTTCATTAAAATTCTCTATTTTTTAATCAAATCCAGCTTGAATTCTTGCAAAAAGTATTAATCAGTGTTTATATACACGTACTTATTGTAGCAAAGCCAAATCAGCCTGTTCCTGAATATGTTTTAAATTGTGCCAGTTAGGCACGTAGCACCTTCAGTAATATTATGACACTACCTCTACTGGTCCTCCTCTCTGTGTATTTCAAAATATTCTGAATATACTGACTATTCTGTCAAGTTTGATGCTGTTTGTTTATTCTTTCTTAGAAAGTTAACAGCACAAATAGCAAAACACCCACATTTTCTCATTATAGAACTGAAAGAAGTATTTCATATTTAAAATAATTAAAAACAACATAAACATTTCCTTCCCTATGCATATTTTCATAAAGGAAAGATCTTCTGGCATCACTATCCTACCTAATATTCTGATACTACACCTAAGTCATACTGTGGTGAGCACAACACTGTAAAGCAGTCGATTCCTGTCTTTATGTGAAAATATTTGATTTTATTGTTAAGTGCTGTGTTAGATTTGGAATAAGAACAGAATCTATTGTCCTGATCTCAATATGCTCATGTCCTGCAGTAAATGTCTGCTTTATAAGCATCTTTTTTCTGAATAGAATCTGCCCTGCCAACCCAGGAACATTTTAGTGACTCAAAGAGAGGGAAGGAAAGCTCTAGCTGTAAGACTGTTAGCTGATCTAAAACACCTGTCCGACACCTGTATTTTGACTCAAAAATAGCATCTGTTAATTAAATCCCATTCTGGATACAAGCTAAAACATACAAAAATAATGGCATGTCTGGCTACCTAGATTCTCAGCCTATGCTTCCTGAACCTCAGGTCATTAGGTCCAAGAAACCTCCTCTCATGTTTTGAGACTTAAACAGATATAGGCCAATCAGTTTGAGGTGGACAATATGTGAATACCTTTGATCGTTGAGGGAAATGTTGAAAAGCCTTCCAGACAGATCTAAATTTGGGGGTTTGTACTCTGGAATTTTTTTGAATTGAATTTTGAAAATTATTTTTGAAACTCAAGGAACTATAAAAAGTAAAAAGGTGCTCTTACAAACTAATACTATTAAGTTTCATACAATTCTAGATCTTGTTTCTGATGTTAAGAGCCTCTTAGAAGCATCTATGACCTATGAAAGAATTTGGCCCACATACTTAACTGCTGCTTTTTCCAAGAAGCTTTTTGATGGAATTGCAGACATTTAATAGTGATTTTGCAGAGGGAGAGGTTTAAACAGAAACCCTGAAGCTTTAGTCTGATTTCTTTATGTTTTCATGGAAATGGAAGAGGAGCAGAGTTTCTCCTCGTTATGGCTAAAGAATTTATTTCGATTCTATTTTTTTTCTATATATATATTCTGTTTTAGAAAAAGCTTGTGTAAGTGTCCTGGTTTCAGCTGGGATAGAATTAATTGTCTTCCTAGTAGCTGGTATAGTGCTATGTTTTTGAGTTAGGTGTGAGAAGTGTGTTGATAACACTCTGATGTTTTCAGTTGTTGCTAAGTAGTGTTTAGTTTAAAGTCAAGGATTTTTCAGCTTCTGATGCCCAGCCAGCAAGAAGGCTGGAGGGGCACAAGAAGTTGGGAGGGGACACAGCCAGGGCAGCTGACCCAAAGTGGCCAACGGGGTATTCCATACCATGTGACATCACGTCTAGTATATAAACTGGGGGGAGTGGGGACAGGGGGCATTGCCGCTCGGGGACTAACTGGGCATCGATCCACGGGTGGTGAGCAATTGCATTGTGCATCGTTTGTATATTCCAATCCTTTTATTATTACAATTGTCATTTTATCTGTGTTATCATTATTAGTTTCTTCTTTTCTGTTCTGTTAAACTGTTCTTATCTCAACCCACGAGTCTTACTTCTTTTCATGATTTTCTCCCCCATCCCACTGTGGGGGGCAGGGAAGTGAGTAAGCAGCTGCATGGTGCTTAATTGCTGGCTGGGGTTAAACCACGACAGTAAGATGCATTCCAGAAAGGCACCAACCACCTTTTTAGAAGCCAAAAATGCTCATAAGCAATATAGTCCTTCTGCTCCACTTCAATTATGTCTGCCCATATATACCATAAGACAGTACTTGACCAAAACTTGGACAAAGTGAAAATTCCTACAGAGCAAATGGGAATGACCCAATTTTTTTGAACACAAGGTAACAGTTACTTTCCAATCACACAAAAGATTGAAGGTTCAACACTCAAACTCTATGGACTCAACTGAGGCACCAAAGCAGATGTTAGGCCCTAAAAGAACTACTGTGCATGCTTAGCAGAAATGCACCCATTTTGTTTCTTAACCATAGGGCAGACATACTAAACTTCATATATCTGTTCAGGAGTGTTGTGCAAGAAGGCTACGCAAAATCTCAATTAAGACAGGTGTGTAACTGGTTCGACATAAAAAGGTTTTCTTCCATTTGACCAGCCTCAGACTGTTGTGTCTTAGATAAAACCAAAGAGAAGTTACGTATTACACTCTGTATTTAATTATAATTTAATTATAATTTGAAAAAATACCCTTTCAGATTACTTGTAGCCTTTGTTCAATTACAATGTAAAGCTGCTTTCAGATTTAGAATACAGTAAACAGTGATGCAAAATAACAAAAATTTCAAAGTTTGCAAATATAAACATGTCATGGTCAGGAAGAATACAGTATTACCGCCAAATCATAACAAACTGTGTACTTCTCTCTCACCTATTGCAAATATGCTTTTTGTCATCCTGTTGCCTTAACTGAATGTTGTCTGAGTGCGCTTTGCTTTTCACCGAAGTTATTTTCCTCAAAGCAGACAGCCAGGTGACAGGCAGTTGGTAGCCTTTACTCTAAAATTCCAGTTTCAAACTAAGGTCCACATTTTAAAACTGCATATCCTTCTTATTAAGAAAAGAAAAACTCAACAGCCTTGTTTCCTTCTGAAAAAAGAACCCTTAAAGAAACATTACAATAGATTCTGAAGCTGGATTGTACCAGCTACTAGAGGTGAATGTCCCCAAAAGAGGACATCTTTTGGATACATGTCCTTTTGGTTCCAGTATTCCTCCAGGATGTCTCCAGTGAATGAAAGCTATTCTCAGACCCGCTTAAATTAGCTTATTGTCAGACCAGACTTGGCTTAGTCCTATTTCTCTTCCTCTGGCTATCCCACTCCTTTTTCACTCCCATCTCCCTAAGTTTCTCTGAATTTGTGGAGTTTAATTTCCTCAGAAGAATATCCATAATAAAGATGTGTGTCTTTTTTTTCTGAAATGAATATGCAATGTGTAAAATCTGTCAGACAAACATATATCAAACATGGACCAAAACTTACTTCTCATTCCAGTCAGTCAGGAAAAAGAAGGATCTTCTAACTGGTATATTTTTGCAAACCTTCACTTGACATATTGTCTTCCCAGCATAAGTTAGTGAACAGGAAAAAGAGAAAACTTTGTAGCTACAAGTGGGGAAAAAAAGAAAAAAGATTAATTGTAATGTACCATGTCCAGCACAATAAACTTGGGGCAAACCATTCAGAAACTTGTGAAGATCCATCCTTACATGCAAAAAGAATTAAAATAATGAATCTCACATTAATGTGGGGGGTGGGGTGGTTTTGGGGGGTTGAGGTTTTTTTAAATGTTTGGAGTTCAAGAAAAGTACTTAAGACACCTAGATTCTGTTCCATGTTTTTGTCATTAAATTTTTTTTTTTTTCATTATTGCAGTCAAGGGAAGTTTGAACATAAATTTTGAAGTGTTACATCTTGCCTATCATACAACTTCAGTCAACAGTAAATCTATTTATACTTACTTTTCCCAATCTGTAAAAAACAGGTTAATACTTGAGGGAATCTATACATTCTTTACAGCAGAAACATTAAAGCCCTCTGTGTTGCCATTCTTCAGATACTTAACTGACTAGCTTCATAGTATAATTCAGGTCTGGGGCTCTCTGTTGGTTTCATATTCTTCTCACCAAAATCTTATAAAATTTTAGTGAAAATACAGGAATACAGGAATAGTATATAATCAACTAATGTTCTTAATTAGTCTCGTAACTTCCAGATCTTCCTTCCACTCTCAGATTTAGACCACATTCTGTACAAGAATGATGAACATGGGAAACAGTCAAATCTGAACAGGAAATTTGAAACATTTGCAGATTGAAGGTGCCTGGCTTTGCCTTATTTAAAAGAATGATGGTTGATCTCCTCCGGAATGTTATAAAAACTGTTATAATTATTGTAGGAGAAATGCTTTTTCTTTTTTTTCCTCTCTCTCTTTTTTTTTTTTTTTAATTCAAAGAGGAGGATCTGGAATCTATAGTACCTATGAATTATCAATGCAGAGAAAGGAAAAAAAATACCTTATAAGACTAGGAAATGCTTTCTGCTCTTAAATACGGCATCTTTCCTCTAGAGTCTAAACATTGCAAACAATTGGAGGATAGCTCAGGAAAGAATAGGCTTTAATAGAATCAAATGATTAAGCATTGCTGTTTAAACAGAAGCATTGATACACAATATACAGACATATTCCTGATTTATGCACCATAAAGACCTAATGCTGGAAAGATTAATGCTTACACAATGCTTCAGTCTGACTGATGTCAGAAAGGTTGTTCAGAGTGCATGCAATTCAACCTATTTTAGGTCTTTGTAGAGCATTTTGCCTAGGTAGCCTCCCTGTGAGCTCAAAGGCATGACTCTATGTCCTGTCCCAAAGATCACTTCGTATCATCCAGTTGTAGACAGGAATCTGATGGTTTTTGGCTGTAGAAACAAATGCAGCCAAACATGAAGCTAGCAACTTTATGCCACTGGCAGCAAATAAGGCACATCTGCTTGGGATTTAAATTAGATAAAACAACAAACTGATAAAAGAAACAAGAAGGAATGAAAATACAGTAAAAAAAGGTAATCAGTTTTGCAATATTATTCTGCAACTTGTAATGTCTGTACCTATCTTTTTAATGAGGACAGTAAGACAGGAATAAGAAACTGAGAGCAAAAATATAAAAATTGACAAAAAGCCAATCCACAAAAGTGAACTTGAGATGGATTTGACAGGACACTAACATGATTCTGTAAAACATAAGACAACTCACTCCCTCTCATCCCAAACGATTAAAAGACAAGCCATTTATCACATATTGGTATGTATAGAAAAAAACAATGTAAAAGAGACAGTGAGGGATATCAAAGTTCTAACATTTATAATACATATATTATATATATACAGGAATATATATTAAAATATATGTTACTGTCCTGGTTTTACAAACAGCAGCAAGATCATAAAATGTGACCTTCAGGAAAGGGAAAATGAGAGCTGTGACATAGCATGAATTCATGCAGTGCAGAAAAAAGAACAGGGAGCATGCATGTGAACAAAGTCAGTAAAAGTATTTGAGGAAAGTAGGTGTCAGCGCGGCAGTCCACATTAAGAAGTCCATGCTAGCTATGAATACCAGAAAGACTGAAAAGGGAGATTAAGGAGGAAGAGAGATTCTCATTTTCACATGCTTGAACATAGCATCCAAGTCATCGGTGTCATTTAGACCATATGAAATTCCACAGTTTCCTGGTAAAACATAAAATGCAGTGGGAATGGTATAACCATCTGAAAATCAGGATAATGATTATAGTTCTGTATTTATTACCTGAACTAATGCAAATTCTCTCAGATTTTTATTAAACTGCTAATTACAGCTAATCCTGTATAGTACTCTCTCTTGCTCACAGTCTAATGCAAATGATCCCACTGTTTTTTAATCAGTCATTTGGAATTCAAGGTAAAGTGGGAGCAAGGGGAAAGTATTAATAAAAACTTGGAGGACAGCATTTTGACTCATCAAAATAATGCTACTAGAATGTAGTCACCTGTCCTCCTTTGATTACTCTGGAGGGGTAAGAGGAGAACACCAGTTTCGCTCAGAGTAGGAAAAGCAGCTATCTGAAGAGGCAACTAATTTGACCAAATAAACAATGCAGAAGAGAATACTTCAATCAGCTTTTTATTAAAGTTGTCTCCCTCTTTTCTTTCCTGTACTATGCTATATACTAGGTATACTTGGACCTACAGATTATATTTATTTTAGTCACCATCTATAAAGAGGATTGTCAATGCATATGCTTAGCCAAGTAATGTGGTTTGAATAGACCAAGAGCAAAAATTGCTGATAAAGCCTCATTCAGATTGGGTTTAAGTAGAAGCACTTCTTTGTTTCACTTGGTAAGCTGGCCTTCAACCCTTCCAGTTACTTGTACTTCAGAGACCACACAAAGTCCCAGTCCAAACTCTATCGGTGTGCAGCACACACCCATGCCTCTCTCCCACTGAGCAAGTCAGTCACACAAGCATTTGTACACGTACCTGTCAAGACCAGTGCTCTGATGTTGCTCCTATTACTATCCTTCCACACTGGCCAAGGGCAACGACCTAGGCCACCTCCTTGATTCTCCATCTGTCTATGGTGCCTGGAAATCTCCTAGTCAGTCAAGCTTAAGTAAATGCATTTTGTGTGAGAAAAACAGCGAAGATACACCCACTTACTCAGTCTTTAACATTAATATAGGAGCATCATCAAAGCAACAGAGGTAAGCTAGTATCTGTGAAAAATATGTGATCTAAGAGACAACAACTCTTCTTGTGAACACCTGCTGTATCTCCTCCTACCTGTTCACCCAGGCTTCTGGGATGTTATGGGCAGCATAAACAGTGAAGCTGAGCTGGGAATCTAGGCTGATGTCCACACATGAAGGGCTTTTAGGTATGCTGGCAAGCTGGAAATTTGCATCAAAGCTGCTGCTGTAAACATGGATGAGACAAGAAATGGCCATGGAGAGCTCAGTCACAGCAGCCTCTATTAACACTGAGAGGAAAGAGAGAAATAAATAAAAGTTAGCAGTAGGTCATTTATGAAGAACGATATTTATCTTAAACCATCAGTTATGGCTTTGAAATGCTTCCTAATAAAATTTAATTAAAATGACATAACCTACCAACTGAAGCCAATTAGCCATCTGTGCTTCTGGAACCAGCCTTAGCTCATTTCTGGTGTATCATTAACAGTCTTTCATTACAGTGCTTTCACATTAAGGCATTTTTAAAGCAAGCATTTTAAACTACAGCAAGTTAGTGTGTACCTCAGATATGCCATTTTTGTGTTAATTTTTGTGCTGAAAAGATTTTTATTACGTAGGTATTTTGTAATTTCAGCAGCTAAGTAGCTACTTAGTTCAAGGGAACGGGCAATGCAGCAGCAGAATGGAGAAAAGGCACTAATTAAATTTTAAGACTATAAAGCTGTTGCAACTGTAGGTAAACAACACATAAAATATATACAATAGCAGCCACAATCAGACATAGTCAGCATTCAGATAGTCATGGATTGGTGATAATATTACACAACGATGGACACTGAAATACATATCTATAGGGATATATATTAAGTGTAGGCTGTACCTTCATTTTTATCACACCTTTATTTATGGTATTTCCTCTGGCTTCAGCTCTGCAGTGCTCTTTTTTCTGCAATTACTGGCTTTTATCCACCTTCCCTCTCTGTGTTTTTGGAACAGCTAGGGATTGCCTGATTGCCAGTGTAAATTAAAATCCCCAGCCCTGGCAGCCTCCATCAAGTGAAGAGAGCTGGTACAAGCACTCATTTCTCAGGCAAGCAACAGGTTGAGAAAGAGTGAGAGTACATTGTATCATTCCAAGATCAGGATGATTTGTCTTCCCAGAGGAGTACTCCAAATTCTCCTTTCCCCGCCCCACCCTAGCTTATGGGTTCCTACATGATCAAGAACATACTCTCATCACCTGTTACAGTTCCTGACATACTCCCTAAACTTGTCTGGCCACTGTATTAGGTAGCCATCTATTAGCTGTCTAATAGTGGGTATTGAAAAAAATAAATTCCTAGGAATAGGAAGCCTGAGACTTGCTTATATTAGCATTTTATACTTGGGATATGTGCAGGAATCCTGCCCAACATCGGATACAGACACCACAATTCACTGGACTTCGCTATCTCAGTTTCCTGACAGAAACCTTGAAAAAACATATCCTCAGTCTGGAATTTTATTCCCCTTCTTTGATAGGTTTTGCCTTTAAACTAGCAGATACTCAACTATTGAGTCACAAAATGCATTGCAAACAGTCCAAAGGAATTATTTCAGTCTTCATTTTATAATAGACAAATTTTAACTATGTTGAAGTAGAGAGATACATAAAAATGAAATAGTTTGACATATTGTGGGGTTTGCTACTGGAAATACTGACAGCATATTATTACACTCTTGAAGGACTGGCTAGAATACTTCACCTTGTTGTGTTGTAATCACCTTCCACATATGAAAACTGAATAATTTTAGAGACTAACAGGTTAAGAAAACTCAGTCCTTTACTCTGTTTGCTTATACTTCTCTGTCTAGCACTTGTTTTTAATGATCTTTTTATTTATTTTCTTTATTATTTTCTCCATCTATCATCCTTCACCATAATTGTTCTGAATAAATCTTTTGCTCTAATGATTTTTTTCCCTAGAATACCATTTTATTCTTGTACTCAGTTCTTTTGGATATGTAATAGCTTAGTACCTTCCAAACTGTTTAATTTGCACTGAATTCTTCTGCATTTCAAGGAATTGCCTATAGTGATATACATAAAATCTTCTTAAGAGGTCCAGAAGAGGACATCAGTGGACTATTACTTGAACCAGTATTTTCTATTTTATCTGAAAAGTACCACACTATTTACCTTAAGGAAAAGCAGCTACTTAGGAGACTCCCTGGCTCCAATCTATTCAAAGTGGCAGACAGGTAGATATAGTGTAATAGCAAAACCTTTATTTATGCAAATTGGCCTACTGAAGTCAATGATTGCTGAGTGGAACCTCAGCATTTTCTCCAAAAGACAGTGAAATGTAGTTCAGAATCTGTGTAAACTTCCTGCTGTGTGTTGAAACGCCACCTGCAGTTTTTAGACAATCCATATTCTAGGCTGTAAGGAAATGTTTCAAATTTTGTCTCCAGAACAAAAGGAAATGTATTTCAGCTAAGCCACAGAAAGAAGGGAATACTCCTTGGACAAAAAAGTCAGAAGAAACATACACGATAGGGTATATATTGTCCATCATAGAAAATTTACACACGCCAGGCAAGGAAGCGAATAAGATGCAAGATGCCTGTCACTATATCCAAGCTATCTTGTCCACTGGCCATGTTTGCAGAAGTATGATTCTCATGATTTATCTGAGTCACAAAGCTGAATGCCAGATATGTAAAAACCAGGCAAACAAACAAAAAACCCCACCCAAACTGAAGGAAACAAAGAAAAAACACAAATTTTGCCTCAATTATTTATAACATGCTTCAATCTGTCAGTGGTGAGGTGCAAAAAAGCTTCCTGGGAGTCAGGGACCTGCCCACCCTACAAGATCTAAGTGACTAGATGGGGCAAGGTTAGAAGTCTTCACTTAGTTGCAGTCAATGTCCATGAGACACCCTGCTGAAAGGAGCTGGGAAATGTTCTTCTTTTTCCTCTCTCTCTCAAATTTCCACCTTTCACCCTTGGGTTCGCACAGTCTGTGCCTGACTTCAGAAATGGAGCCAGTTTGAAAGCAGGGCCTGGGGGGGGACTACAGGCTGTCTGTCTCTCTTGCTATGATGGCCTGTGAGGGGTGAAGGCAGCAATGGGGCAATCAGTTCAGCTGCCAGCAAAGGGAGACAAATGAAACTTCAGCATTATTTATCTAATTATTAGGAGATCCAGAATGAAGATCTTCTCAGGAATAGAGTTCCTCAGGTGTAAGCAAACATCCAAATATGACCTGGTCTGCAGCTGCAGGATTTTTTTCTGCATTCGTTTTCTTACTCTTGTCAGCTCTGTTTAAAAACACTCTGGTTTCTGTGCCAGAGTCAGCCCTTCCCACTCCAGCTCTTCACTCATTAAGCCCGGTAGCAATTAACTAAATCAGAGACAAACATCTTGGGTAGTCTGAAATGTCCATTACTCACAAGAGTTGGTCAGCATCTTTTTACTGTATTTTTATGAGTTGCTGAACAGAATTTGGTACGCTGAAATTATATCACCCATTCATGAAGCCAGAGCACTTTACTGCTTTTTATGATTTTTATGATTAATAAATCTTAGATGAGAAAGGACTATGGTGTTTCACTGATTTACATAGCACAGGCTATGGACTTCCTACAGCAGATTCACAGCTCCAGCTATGCCAGAGTTTATTTTCTGCAAAGGTGTCCCAGGCATAGCCAGTATCTAGGAGACGATGAATACACCACATCACAAAGTGAATTGTGACCAAGATTAATAATCTCACAACTCAAACCCCATAATTTATTTCTGGTGTGAAATTATTTGACATCACCTTCTCACTGAAGGTAAGAAGAAATGAGACTTGCAGAAATGAGATGAGACCAAGGGAAACGAACTTTAACCTCAGCTGCCAGATATGCTTATTTCTGACACATCTTCCTTGTACGTGAAGTCTGGACGAATAAATTTCACCATTGGTGAGAAACGGAACAATCCATACCATCCCTGAAAGTGTTAATGAACATATCTGCAGGTGCCTTCAAGATTTAGTAAGGAACATACTAGCTTATTCCTTATAGAAAACCACTTTCTTCTTCTCAAGCCAGTATTACAATTCACATATTATTTTAGTGCCAGACCTTCCAACAGAGTAGGTACTTTGCTGTTATTGCACTAGCAGATGATGTCGATTCAATACATATTAAACATGCTCTCTCTGACTCTGTATGCACGTTTTCTGTGGGTAAAACATGACAACTATCTGGTTGAAGACAATTTGGAATGAAGGCTTAAGACCCTTCTGACACCTTAAAGTTATTTTGGAGAACAGGAGCTTGATATTGTTCTTTCCCACTTATTTTCAGAGAGAAGAAAGAGAGCAAGAACCTAAATACACTTTAGGTCATACACACACCACCCCCAACCCCCCAAAAACCCTTAAGATTTAGGTAAGGTGATAAGCAGCATTAATTAGATCATTATTATAATAAGAAAAAGGCGAAACATTAAAAGGCTGTAATGAAAATACTGATCAGATGCACTTTCCAAGCATCAATATTTACCTTATTGTTTCCTCCTATTAGTTGAAGAATCCTATAAATTATCCCTTGAAAGAAACTTAAAAATCTCCTGCTGTCCTGGTATCAAAAACGTCTCTGCTACATATGCTTTATGAGGCCTTGGTAACTTCTGTTTAGGTTTTTTTTGAGAACTGGGAGGTTGCAGTTATTTAAAAACCGGTCCTGGTTAAAAACCCTGTGGCTTTCAGAACAACGTATCGGGATGTAACACAGCAACAACTTAGAGGTAAAGAGCCATGCTCAGATTTGAAAACAATGAAATCAATAAAAAGCTCTTCATATTTTTCCATATTTTGAAACAAAAAGTGATTTTTGCCAAACAAAACTATAATGGCTTTGTACTAGGAGAAGGAAGAAGTGGAGCTTTCAATTATATATAGGAAAACCTTCAAAAAACCTTTCATTTTTTCCTCTTCCTCCTTTTGGTTTTTGGGGGTTTTTTTTGGAAACTTTCTGCGGTATTTTGATGATCAGGTCCAGAAGCAACTGTCAAATCCCAAGCATAATTAGTGAACTTATACACCCTTAAATGTAATAACGGCTCATTAAATGTATCATCATCAAAGTGTCTAATTTCTGCATTCACTCAAAAAGACAGCAACTCCAGCAATTCAGTTGGAAAAGACTGTTGATTCAATATCATCAGTTCATGGTGCATACTAGAATTTCTGGGATGGGTCCCAGGGAGCTACTAATCAAATTCCAAAAGCTGCTTATTACGTCTGATCCAGTGAAAACCCTGCCTGAAGTAGCAAGGCTATAGAGATTGTATAAACATTCATTCATCAGCTTTTGAGAAACAGGCACAGATTCAGTTTTGTACCAGCTTGCAGCCTGTCTTTTCATACTCTGGATTGCAGCAAACTCCAATGCTAAATCTCTATTAACACGAATAATCTTATTCTTTACTTTCTGGGAACGCTTGATACTGCAGAAAGGTGCTAATATCTAGAAATGCCTGTCGTTCCTCACATGTAAGAAGAAATAAAAAATACTTTGAGTACTAAAACATTAATATAATCTTCTAAGGACTTCATACAGAGGAAAAAGAACATGATCCAGACTTAGGCATAACAAGGATAAGTACTGCTCTATTCACAGCAGTGGAATAATTTGGCCTACAGAGATAACACTGTTAATAGAGCCAGTTGTTGCAACACTAAATCAAGGCTAGATATTTTGAATATAGTCTTTGACTTGCTTAGTCCGTGGTGAATGACTAATATTAAACCTCTGATAATCTTTTATTAAAGAGAAAGTTTAAAGCAGTTTCTAAACAAATTATTAAGTAAGGCTTTCATTTCAATAGTATACATTATCTTTCCGTCTTTTGTGGTAGAAAGAATCTATAATAAAGAAAAAAACTCTTATGATACTCAGGGTAATAAATATAACTTGGGGGAGGAAGAGGAGAGAAAAAGAAAATTAGTAGGAGCAACTGATTGCTGCTCTTGCTGTTCAAATTTGATCCTGTTTTCTTCAAGGTAAATGTGAACACATATAAGATACAGGAAAGAACAGTACAAGTGGGAAATGCAGTGTGTCTCCTCGGCTGTCAATGCTGACTTCTTTTGCAATTGTGCTACTAGAGAAAGCAAAACACGTGTTTTTTAGCCTCCCAGAAATCTGGAAAAATTTACCAGCACTGAGCTAAGGCAGTGATTTTACTTTACTTTTGGGACACAAGCTTGCAAATTTTTGCATGCCTGCAATTCTAGCCAGCTAAGTGTAATGAAGTAAAAAGAGGGTGCAAAGCAAATCAGGTAGAAAAGGGAACACAAAGGTGATTTCAGCAGGAATGCACAATTCACCATCTAGTTGGTTTTTACTTCTAACTTCAGCAGGTGAAAATATCATCTGGATTCCTCTTGGGCTCAGTGTCCCTAGGTCAACGGATGGAAGGCCCCATGGTATTACCATGAAGGTGACCACTGAGAAGACAGGGACTAAGGACAGCTTGTGATCCCCAAAAGACAAGACGTGTAGAATGGCTTTGCCCACTTCTTAAGGATCAGACATAGGTTCCAGCAGATCAGTTTTGGCCATCGGTCTCACACTTTGTTTTTATCAGACATGCCCTTAACACCGGCTTTGATGCAATAGCTAGACTTTTCTGTTAATATTCATTAGCCTAACTTTAAATATTTTGCTGGCTTTTAGAAGTTTATTTAATAGATGCATATGTAAGGCATGTAGTACATTAAAATGTACATGGAATGTATATCACTACATGTAGAGGTCAATTTGAATTTTGTTTACCTTGGACAACTTTGAATGTAGGCTCCTCCACAAAATGCCCAATGGCCTGGCAAGTTCTGACTTGCAATCAGTAAGTTGCAGTTTCTAATGTTACACTACCAAAAGGATTCTGCAATTGTTATGAAACTAGAACAAACAGAGAAGCATCACTCTTCACAGCTGAAAGTTTCCCGGCATAAATAAATAGGTACAGAGAAGTAGAGAGTAAAAAATCTGATTCCTTTACTGCTAGTCAATAAATCACATTTTCCTTGAGGAGGCTTGATTCAATGAAGTCCAAATTTAGAAATATCTTTAAGCAGACGAATGTTTTAGATCCTTTCCGGCTAGGTTTTCTGAACAGTGTGCAGAGGAAGATGTTTCTAAGGTAGATGTTGATTAGTAACCATTCATTCTTTTCATCATCAACAATTAGTTGCCGTTAAGAGTGTTGAAAAAAAATCATGGGATAAATGACTATATCCAAGGGAGAAGAATCCTACAAACTCTATTTACCTTCTCCTCCCTTCTGCACCTGCGTGTTCTCCCCCCACACCCCTGGCCCTCCAGCTGCTTAGCTTTTCCTGGCAGCTTACAAATACAATTGCTGTTTCTTTGTTTGCTGTTCATGAAGTTGAATAATGGTGAAACAAGCCTGGCATTTGGAATCCCGCATTTGAACCACCTCTGTGTTTGAAGGGCTACTGCAATCTTTGTGGTTGGTTCACCTTTTTGCCTCTCTGAGCACATTGCAATCGAGAAAAGCAGACGGAGAAAAAAAGAAAGAGGAAAAAAAAAAAAGCATCTCAGCAGCCACTTCTTCCTGAAACGAAATGGCGAGAGATCACTGTTTCACGGCCCACCCCAGCGTTCAGATGGAGGGCCTTTTGAAAGCATCCGCGTAGCAGCCCCAGCTGCATGTCGCTGGCCAGCCACAGAGGAGTTGAGCAGGAGCCATGCCCCAGTGTGGCTGTCCCCTCCGGGAACCCGACACAGGCACCCACGACAGAACAGACTCTGTACATCTCGCAGCCTGCGAGGTGCTCTGCAGTAATGCCAACAGTACTGGGCACTAGCCAATGAGTCTAAGCCAATTTTAACTGAGGAATTGAGTAAGGCAGGGTCTACGATTTTGTCCGTTACTGTTAATTAACCTACTCTTCTTATGACAGTATATCATTTAAGACAACACACTATTTACACAACAAAAGACAGCAAAAACCAAAAGCTTAAGGAGACAAGAATGAAAGCTATTGGAGCTGAGCAGGAAAACCATACACAAAACAATTTTTTAGGCTTTCATGAAGTTCCTTATTTTCCCTTTTCTCCACAGAAACAATTGAGATTAAGGACAACTGCTATGACCACCACTAACTGTAATCAGTTCTTTCACTCTACTATTTGTTCTCCATATTTGAATGTCCAGATTAGTTTTCGGAAATGCTATGTTTTATTTATAGTTTTAGATCACTTAGATTTTTAACTTGTCTTAATTACCTTATAATATGACTAAATATGTAAACATCAGTAATATGCCAACTGTAACAGTTCACGAATACAAACAAATAGCAAAATGTGTGTTTTCTGATGATACATCCTGAATTAACATATTTTAAAAGTAACACTTTACCTTTGTTTGGTGTTTCCGCACTTTGAAGTGAAATCTGTAAAGACAAAACCCGAGGGAAAAAGTAATCAGTTACTTCAGAAAAGACCACATAGCAGTTATAATGGTGTTAGGAGTAGTACTCAGGGAAAATAAGGTGAGAAAGGGGAAGGTTGTATCCTAATCTTATGATGACGGAAGACATGACTGCGATTCAGAGTACCAGAACCTGCTTCCTCTACAATCTCCAAGAAGTCACCCAGAACCTGATTTCTGACAGTATTTAGGCATGTCAAGATACAAAGAAGCACTTAGTAACATTTGAGGTGCATACACTTTTTCAGCCTCTGCATTGGTGTAACAGAGATAAGAATCCCCTCTTCATGCCTTCGCGTGCATTATATATTCAGACATGAATCCCACAACGACGCTGAGCAGGCAGAGCCTCAGCATCCTTTCAAAGCTGAGGACTATCAAGTCTCCACTCAAACGGCCTGCATTTCACCTACATTCCTGTGCCAAATCAGCAAAAATAGCTATGCTCTTCAAAGGCCTTTGAGCAGGCAGCTAGCTAACCAGAGACAGCAAACAGAAAATATTAGGTGCAGGGATTTAGAGGGTGTTTATGCCCTTGGTGCCTAAAGAGAGCTCTTGGTGCTTAACAGTAATTCAGTATCTGGATTCCCACCTCTCACATCCCACTGCTGTCAGCAGTAACTGCTGGGTGCTTATGACTACTGAAAGGTCAGGCCAGTTATTTAGGCTGAACTCACCAGCCTAATTAAACTTTTTTTTTTTTTTTTTAAAGCTGCTTTATTAATTCCCCAAGTCCAATAACTGCCATCAGTCAGACCTCACTCCAGGCTTCTCAGACACTGGACAAAATTCAATATTGCTACACTGCCTGTGCCTCCCCATCCACACAGGAAAAAACGTCGAGGCAGGTAGCTCGGTGCATCTCCCAGGAGGACGGGCAGCACTCGCAGCCCTAGGTGGGACAAGTGTGGGCGACCAGCTTCCCTTGCTGACTGCTCAGTCTGCTCCATCTTTGCCTGGCTCTCACATCAGACTTGCGTGTACCAAGATGACATAGAAATAAGTTACTGAGGTGCAAGTCTTGACCAGAGAGACTAGCAAGTTAATTCTGTGTTTCAGTATTGCCCATGGCTTGCGCTGTTTGAACCCATGTCCCTGAAAGGTTTACTATACTTTACGGTCATTAATCTCTTTGCAGAGGGTTGAGAGTGCTTTTTGTTAGTACATATGTATTCAGCAAGATGCTTCTTAAAAATTACAATGCATGCAGAGGTGACACAAGTAGTACAATGTTGGATGTACTCTCTCCCTGTGAAGCTGCCAGCATTTGTCTGGTAAATATGAAGGGAAGTCAAATGCTTACTTGAGGGGAGAAAAGCAACCTCCAGGCTGAGAAATATGTTTTCACAATCTTTATAATGCAGTGAGACAAACGGGAACAGAGACCTTTGTTAAATTCTCTCAAATTTTGGAAAGTAAACAACCTTTTGGAAGAGCGCTCATAATTTCAACATAGTGTAGCCCATTTAATATATAGTGGATTAATGCCTGTTCTGGCAGGATTTGATCTCCTAGGACTTTTTGTGAGCTGCTATAAGAAAGGAAGGGGAAAAAAAAAAAAAAAGAGAGATGAAAAACATTAATTGTGCAGCATGCCCAGAGTTTTCCCTGAACGGATTTTAAAATCCCAGGGTTAGGTTGGTTGGAGACTGAATGAATCAAACTTAGAAAGAGATGCAATCAGTTAAGAAGAAACTATCGCTGGTGCCATTTGCTTTCATAATCTCTTAACCACAGTACAGCAATGCACAGTACTGGCAGTGAGGAGGCAGTAAGGAGGTAATGAATACAGTTTAATTAAACACAGAAGACTGGAAGTAAGTTTCTTTGTTTTCCTTTTTTTTTTTTTTTTCATAAAAACAGAATTAAATAGAAGCTCATTGAGATTTTTTTTTTTTAAAGTATGCAAGCACACGTGTACAGGCATGTATACACAAACATATACTGGCACCTTATGTAATTTACATTAGAAAAAGTAAGCAGTAATTTCCCTGAGGCATCATGTGCATGTGGAGCTTGCCAAATGGATGCGTTAAAAGGTATTCCACACAAAACCACAACCATACATTACACTAAAACATCAGGAAACCATGGTGAAAAAGCAATTAGAACCTTTTTTCTGGCATTTCTCCCTTACCCTATGTGTAATGCTGCAGCACTTGAGATGTAACAGGTAGCCTCAAAAATTTCATTTTACTTGTGGTGCAAGTTACCTGCTTGTCTGAAAAAAGCCTTTCCTACCTAACATAAAGTCTTGGGGGTACTATGTTGATGAACATAATAGAAACAATTCAAGCAGACTGACAAGATATGCTAATATTGCAGGATTTAGTAATTTTGTTGGTACCCAGAATTCACATAAAATGCCCTTAGACTTCAGAATGAGTTTAACTCAAAAAAGGTTTGGAGGAGTTGGTATTCCATAAAACATCCAACTGCTGAGTACTAATTTTGGCTACATATGTTGATACAGATAGGAAAGCTGGTCCATTGTCTTTGTATAAATATTGATACACAGATAAAATCTGATTTGTTATATTTATATACTATTCTATACATGAGGTAGTTGCATATAACATGTAATTTCTATTTTCATAAAATGGAACAACGTTCGAGTTACAGAACATGCAGAAATATTTTTTACTGCTTTTATGACATTTATAGTTCAGTTGCTGCTGAGAAAGGTGAAGCTCTTTATAAAATCAAAACTGAAGCTTTTCTAGATTGCTGAAGTCTAATCAACTGTCCTAGCACTTATTTCTCAAAGGAGTAAAAAGCAAGCAGCAGCAATGGCATTTGCTGTTGCAGGAACAGTTGGGGGGTTTTTTACTATCTTTTTTTTCTCCATTTGCTTGAAGTCAGTTGTTAGCCAGGTCTGCTTCACCAAGGAGGGGGTAAGGGGGAGAGGGGTGTTAGTCAAGGTCATAGACAGCCTTTACAGGAAGGCTTCAAGGGACAGACAACCAGTTCAGCTAACCAAACCTGAAAGGGAATGTGAAGGGAACAAAACCTCAATAACTTAAAAACTTTAAAAAATGAGTAACAATCTAGTCAGTAGTCTCCAAGAGAAATGTGGAGCAGCTTCTTATGTGAATATTAGGACAGAAAAATATTTTAAGACTAGTGATAAAATATTCAGTCAGGACAGAATCTTTTTAACATTCAGAAGAGGTTATTCAGGAACAGTATCATTTCACTCATTACAGATGAGCAAACACCATCATTATCACCACCACTTATCATTTTTAGCCTCTGGAGATTACAGCCAGGACCAGCACTCTACTGTGCTGGAGACTGTACATATAGATAAGGAGAGGCGTTCCTTACTTTGAAGAGCTTATAATTTAAATAGGTAAAAGAGAAAAAAAAAAGTGTATTACTTCCTCTGTGCGAGGAAGTACACGGAAGTTGGTTCAGCAGAACCTGTATATATTGGACACAGTGTAATTGGAAATTGGACTCTTGCTGGAGAATGAGAGAGATGGTAAACTGGGAACACTTAGAGTAGGTTTTTTTGTTTGCTTGTTTGGTTTTGTTTGTTTGTTTTTTACAATGGGATAGATCAGCTCATAATTCAATTATTTGCCTTGTCACAATCACTTAACCTCTAAAATAAAAACAGTATTTGCATGCCAGTGACTCAGAAGAGAAGCAGAAGCAAACATGAACATCAACAGAAACCTCAGACTTGAAAAAGATGACCTGTACTCTTTTGGTTTTATCCCATTATCTTGTTCTTCATGGCATGACATTTAGGGTTTTCTGATTGCTCAGGACAGGCCACACTAATAGGAACGGATTTCAATCTTTGACCACTATATCTATCTCTCTGCTGGAATTCGGAGAGGATGGGGCTGAAAATGGACTCAAGGATACTCAGTAAATATAAGCCCGTCGTAGAAGGCAGTTTACATGTTGGGTTCACAGAGTTGGCCTGAAGACTCAAAGAGAAAATATACTAAATTTTTCTTAACTCCAAAAGAAATCTTTTAAGAAATTATTCCAAATGCATTTCTTCTGCTCTAATTCCTTCCTAAAGGAGAACATGTTCTGTTACTGTCCTCCCTATCTTTTTACTGGACCAAGCTCTTTATCTATCTCAAGAAAGATTCTGGGTTGACAAAATAATTGTCTCAAGGGGAAGATGCTGATCTTCCTGATGCCTCTCAGGACAGCCGGGGGTTTAACTGAAAAGCAGAGCATGTGAATCCCTTGTTATGTCTTTTATCTCATTGTCTACTGTATTTGCCCTCTAATATACAGGAATAAGATTATCGCCATTTAAGAAAAGTTATTTCCATTTAAGTCAAAAACATGCCAGGTAAAATGTGTGCTGTCACAGAGTCATTTATATTGGCATTTACCCAGAATAGTGACTTCTAATAATTGATGCTGAAGTGGACATGGAAAGATTTAGGATGCTATAGAAACAAGATTTACAGTGAGTCATGACCTAGAAGGGAAGAAAGAGAAGGTGCTTAAGTGAATCAGCCTGGTCAGCTCTGAGCAACAACAAAAAACCCTAGAGCTATGTTGTTTCTTGCAGCTTGGTCCTTAAAAATACTTGCCAACCTTCAGAGAGACAGCATCCGTATAACTAATTCCAGAAGGCCACAGCTGTTTCTGCCCAGGGCCATGCAGCAATGCCTGCTCTGTGATCTCTAGTGTCCTCTGTTCCAGAAACATGGTGCAGGGAATCACTTACAACCCAGACCTGCAGAGAGCTACACTGATGTTCTAGGGTTGATTTGCTTGGGTCCTGCACCTTACCTAAGTTGGAAGCTATTCCTCCCACCCCATCTAAGAGGAATAAAAAGAGGCTAAGAATGCAGATATTTGAGAAAAGAGGTTTTCTGAACCTCTCTGGAGCCTCTTCAACTAACATACTTTCTGCTCTTCAATGAGTCTTTTCACCTCAGGAAGAAGTTTACCCCTGTAAGATGATTATTTGAGGGTTTGAACCTGCCAAGAGTAAGTGTATATGGATGATGGTATATAATTAATTTGCTATATATCACTCCTATGACACAAGAAATGTTATAAAAAGAATTATGCTAGCTTTCACCAGTCTTATATTTGGGACTTCAAACTGCGTATCAGGCATAATTAAATAAATTCCACTTATGTAGCTAGACATGTTTCTAATTAACACTCACTAGTTAACTCAGTTAACACTCGTTATCCCATTGTTTACTTTCCTGTCCTAGGTGTTCTTACACATATCACAAGCCATGGGCTAAAAAAACCAAAAAACCCAAAACAATAAAGAGAAAGAATAAAAGTTTTATAAGCAGGTAACGGTCTGAGAAAACAAGCACCTTGCCCAGTTTGGCATGTTTTTCTAAACAATATTTGCTGTGAGAAAGAATGACAAGACAGAGACCATACAAGGAAAGAAAAAAAAAAAATCCTCAGTAACTTATTAAACTTTTTTAAAAAGTGTGAAGAGGGTATTTCATTACGGTGGGAAAGAAATAGCATGACTTAAGGTTACACTAGACTAAATCCAAGTGATTAATGGCTTGCTTTTCAAATTCAATGAGCACCTGTATTTCCAAGATGCTGACTTCAAAAGAATATTTGGATGCTTAGAACTTCTGTAAATGCATCATAGTGATTTGTCCGAGATCAAACCAAAGTGGCTGATGACAAAACTGAGAACAGATACTGCCCTCCAAAGTCCCAGTTCACAATTATACAGTATCCCCTGGAAGACCCACTTCCGTGTTCTGAGTATTCCACCTACAATCAGGACTATATGATGCTGGTCCTTCTCTGCATAAATAGCAGAGACATTTCTATCTGAAAAACTCATCATTTAAGTGACATTTACAGAAGGAATGTATTTTTTTATTGTTAACAACCTATGCTAAATATATAAAAATCAAATACTTTGAAATTGCATGACTTTGTCAATAGGTGATGTGGCAAAGGAGAGATTTGTATGTTTGGTGGGAATCAGAAAGAACAACCAGAGCATATCAGTTACAGTTAAACACAGGACAAATCCTCTGTTGCTCCTCTATTACACATTGTCAACAATCTTTTCTTTTTTTATAGTGCCTCTACCTAATGCTTGTCAGAGAGAAAATATGCAATAAGATATATGTAGTAAGACATTGGTCAATCAGACAATTAGTGATACCCATTTAAGATCCATTTTTAAAGAGAAAAATAGGACATCAACTTGCATCTTTTACCTGTGCTTTTGCCAATGGCACTGCACGGAGTTTCTTGACTGCATCAGTAATGTCTCTGGTTTCCACAAAACAGAGGACACTGCAGATTGCTTTAGCTACTTCAATCACATTATCAACCTTATGCTGTTGATAGCAAAGAAAGAAAATTAAAAAAAGCAAACAGTAGACACATACCATTTATCAGGAACACCTTACCATAAACTTCATGCCAGTAAAAATGTAGAAAATCATATCTGCTCATTCAAAATTCAAACACACCATGCATTAGTCTGGCTATGTTGAAATCGCTAGTAACCAGTAGTTTCCTAAGGATAGCATAATTTTTGTTGAAGTCCAGTTATCTACCACAAAATGTGCCTTGTTGAAAAATGCAATGGATTTGGTATCTAAGACTGATTTTGAGGCAAAACATTGGTTTGTCTGAACTTCATAAGCATAGAAGCACTGTAAAGAAACTTCTGAGGAAACCTGAACTGAAATGATTCACAAACCTTCTGAGGTTTTTATGATACTGTGAATTTATCCCTACTATTGTGTCTCCTACCCATCTCTGTGAGAACTGGCAGACAGCCACGTTCCTCTTAAAAATAGTGACTGTGTGGGAGGCTGTATAAGCTGACACCTGTGGACTGAATACTTCTGCAACTAGCTTTTCTACAAAATTTATATATAGTTCAAATTATTAAATCTTATTGATAATAAATTTAGATCTTTAAATATTACCATATGAAAAAAATCTCTAGATTAATAATCTCAGGATTACTTTGGGGAATTCAAGAAAAAAAATTTGGATCCCAAAGGAAGGCAAATGCAATCTTCAAATGTCAAGTACTCTGTGTTCAGGAAAATAAATAAATAAATAAAAATTCATGGGTTTCCTGTATAGTTTGATCACTTCATTAAAACCTTAAAATACATTCTCTGAACAAGTAGAAGCTCTCCTGTAAATATTCTCTATGTTTCTGCACTGATAAACGTTCCTTTTGGTGCGCTACAGAATGTCTATGTACTGATAAAGCCATTTCTCTAACTAATCCATTTAATGCCTGAAGAAGAAAAATTGTAGCAAGATGAACTTTCTATCTTCAAGCTTAAGGTCTACATGCAGACTGTACTGAGAAGGTTACCACCTGTCATTAATACAAATAAATGTAAAAATATATTGAGGTTACTAATTCCACATTACCTGCCTTGAGCAGAACTAAAGGAGGAATGAATTACATAAAATATCCTCAAATATTTGGTGGTCAGAATTCTTTTAAATATAAGTTGTTGGGTTGGTTTTTTTTTTAGTAATTAAAGACAGCAACACGTTTTCATACTAGAGGTTCTGGAGAGAAAAAGGCTATGGCTGACTGATCTCTTGAGAACTTTAGAACCTCCTTTAGTCTGAAGTTGATTCACTCTTCTGCCAATTTATAAGGAGTGCATTTCCTTTATTTCATATTTCTTTCCTACCACTTAGATTTTTAAATTGAACTTTTGCAGGATTTACTCTCTATGCACACATACACTGCCAGCAGAAGTAGAAACCTGTAAAAATGGCATGGCTTTCTTACCATGTATAACACTGACAAACCAAAGCATTATACATTCTGGTTTACTGTGCAGTTGTTAAAGAAATGCATATATATATATATACACACACACATATATACATACATATATAATTTTTTAATTACTCTATATAGCTTGTAATTAAAAATTAAATATAATTCTAATTTAGCATTTAAGTACATTTCAATTTAGCATTTTTCTTCTTCGCAAGTGGATATGGATTATTAGAATGAGGGATTTTATGTCTATAAAGACACATTCATGCAGGGCAATTTCTGAGGAGTACATGAGCAATAGACATACACAGGAGTAATCCTTGAGTAGAGAAACACCTACATGCTAGACAGAAAAGAAAAGAAAAAACAAAACCCACCAAACAACCAAAGCCAAAAAAACCCAACAGTTTATATATTTTGTATGTACATATATATGCTGTTCCACAAAGAGAGTTGGGTATCTTGAGGAATGTATCCACTTCTGTATAATATACTGTTCCGTTTAGAGATAAATTAACAAAGTACTTAATATTTTATAGAAGCTACTCTACCATAGACTTTGTTTATATGGTAGCTACTTTTAAGGAGCCGGTTGCAGATCAAGGAGAGTAAGCATATAAAAAAATTGTGTAATATTGTATACTATGAATGACAACTTCTTTTACACTATTTCTCTTTTTTGGATATTATCATGTAAAGAGATTTCCTTTTCCTTACGTAGACATATGACATTGATTTTTGCCCCAAAGAAGGGAAGACAGAGATTAGTTTCTTACAGAAGTTTTACATTTTCTAAAAGTCCAAAAGAATTATAGTCAACATCTTGTATATGTTTTTTTTCCCCTCTACATATTTAAATACCAGCAGAACCTTTGAAGAATATTTTGGTGTTTAAATTATTTACACGATTAAAAAATGCTACTTCATTCTAGAACTTCTACACTCTGTATTAAAAATTTACAAAGTTTTTTCTCTACATAAATAGTACATTCTGAATAGATTTAAAAATGAAGTGCATGTCAAGTGATTATTAGGGCAATCAAAATGGCTAGTTGTCTGACTACACACATTCTCTGGGAATACTCTCTACATTTCAACCCAAACAGCACCAATCCCAGCCCCATCTTGTGCCAAATATCCTAAACTTTTTTTTTTTCATTTTTGTTTTATAGAGGCTTTATCCATCATAAAATACATTTTCCATTTATCAATCATTACTACTAATAATGATAGTGGGCTTGTCACATAAGTCAGAAGTATTGGTATCTCCAAGGCTTTTTAAGAGACATCCTTGAACAAGTGAATTTGGAAGTAGGTAGATAAATGTGCAAAAAAAAAATTGATTTTTTTTTAACTGAGAATCACAAGACCTGTCTGATTAAAACTGAATGCTTAAGGAAGTTCCAGCTGAATACAGAATTCAAGCAGGTACGTGTGTACTTAGCATATGTGAGTAAATCCCAGTGGCTTAAAGTTCAGCCTGTGCTGAGGGTGGATTGTGGCGAGTCAGAAGGGTAACAACCCTCCAGTGATGTGAGTGTGGTCCCGTGTAACCTTGGGATAGGGAGCAGTTATTAAGATCCCAATTTTAAACTTTCTTAAAGGAATCTAATCAGATGTTAAAGAAAATAAGTAAACAAGGATTCAAAGAACTTATAGCTCCATCATTTTTCAAGCCACTTATTAAAGCAAAGCAGTAACGCTAGTTTTAATTATTATAGGTTTGATATACAATTTGACGCCTCTGAATGAAAACGTCTGCTTGGTGATCTGACCTATGACATTAACTTGCAATCCTGCTCTTTTAAGTAACTCACATGAACTTTATTGAGTGTCCCTGTGTAGGCAAGGCCTTATTAAAAAAAATAAACTATGGAGAATTTTAGCACTAGAGTAACACATGCATATTTGTTGCATAGCATGAATATTTGAAAAATGTCCTGTCTTCCCTTTATAAAAACTTAATGATCTCAAGTAATTGCTTACTCGAGGTAAAAATCTTTAGCAAAAACAAATTTAAGAGTGCTTCATTATAGGTCTGAGGAATATCTACAGAGCGGCAGTTGCAGAGGGTGGATTGTAATGCCTCATTAATGTTGAGATTATAGCTTTCTTTGAATTTGGAATCTTCTTACTTTAGGCCCTAAAATTTCAAGTGAATGCGAACTACACTGATGGGTCTACTTCAGTAAAGAAATATATATGCACATTTGAGCTTGGAGACCTCAATTTCCCAATTGGTTATGACTGCATCACATTTTATACACTAAATAGTCCCCTTTGAGAAGTTGCTTACAAAGGAAAGTTCAGTGAATATTTACACAGTATCAAAAGCAGAGCTTTACTTTGTAGCTAGGCACAGTTCAACAGCTTTAAAATTTGTACGCATTTTGCAAAAGAAAAGTGTCCAAGATTTACACAACAATGTAGAATATAATATATAGAATAGAATATAGAAATACCCGTGTATCAAGAATATACACAAAGATTAAAATCTGGACTTGAATACAGGTGACAGTTTTCTGAAACAAAATAAGAATTTTATTTTTTAACATATATTTCAAAGAAGTCCATACTTCAGCATAATAACTCCAGAAGGGATGTACTGGAATATCTCCACACTAAAGCAGTATTCTTTGATTTTACTAATTTACTTCATTTTCTTTCCAGTTCCAAACCCTAGAAAGTCAGTTAGCATGACAACCTCAAACCCAGATTAAATAGCCATTTGGTTTCTTCCAAGCTATCACTCAAATGTGCATTTGTCCTTTAGATTTTTGTCCTTAAAACATTAGTTAGCAGAGATTTCCTATGAGATTTTTTCCTTCAAACATGTAACATTCAGTTGGCAGCCCACTATACTTTAAAATAAGGCTCTTATGAGTTTTTGCTGCCTAAACCTAATCCGGCAAACTATCTCATGCTTAAATATATATCCTAAATATATAAACATTTGGCTTGTGGGTTTGCAAAATCAGGGACAAATTTTGCAGATACGTACAGTGTATTATATCTCTACTAATTCCAAATATTATACTGCCAACCCAAATAATCCTGTTTTTATTTAGAGGTTCCCTGACACTTACAAACAGTCACCTTTGATATTTTAATTTTGTAGCACTTTATTCCTAATCTCAAGCCACATTTTGTTAAGAGAATTTATATCCTTTCAAACTCAGGTTAAACAGCCTTAATTAAAAGTCTTCCTTAATTGCATTTGAGAGAGTTTAATAATTAGATACCTTTGACATAGAAGTTAATGCTTTTCTGGTATAACAAGCAGAGAACAAATACCTCATTTTGCAATAGATATTCCACTTGACCTCTATATTTCATAATAACCGAGACAAGGTTCCATCTAGAAATCAGAAAAAAGAAAACAATATCAGGTTAATAACAACTGGATAAAGAGAACAGGTTTGCCTACCCCCCCCCCCTTCTATAAATTGGGAATAATTAATTGTCAGTGATTTTATGTTGGTATAAAATAAGGACAAGTGTTTATGTAGACGTCATGTAATTAGGCCTGGATCTCCATGGTTTTTTGGTAGACCCAAAGTGTGAATTTGTTTTACTTTTGTAGATGGACATACACCACTGTAGTCCCATGCCTTTGTCATGCTACAGAAGTTACCATGAAGTTTATACAGGCAGATTGCTGTGCCTTAGCAAAATTTCACTAAATGAATTAGGATTATGAACAGGACTATACACCTCTCTACACTGAACTCCAGGACTGACGCTTCAGCTCACCATTTTAGAACCACAGGCTCCAAGTGCTCTCCCCAACAGATAACCAGAATCAGAGTTTTGCTTTTAAAAAGCATTTGTGTAATTTTCTGTATTTGAAGCACAGTGAAATTCTAGCTGTCATTTATTTGTCTGCTAGAACAAAGCAAAAAAAGATGCCTATGAGACCATGGCTAAGGTTGTTACACACAGGAATACACCTTCCTTTTCCTTTGAAGGCCACCTCTGTAGGGTCAAATCTTCAGAAAAGGGTACAGAAACCTTAATTCCCATTTCCACACCCTGCCTAGCCTACTGATTGGTAAAATGGACACATTATTGCCTTGGTGGTCCTCAGTGGTAGTTAGGGTTTGCATGTGCTTTTATGGAAAAGTGGAAATTGCAATTTATATTCAGTGTTTATTTGTTTTACTCTATCACTTTATCCTTGACTTTTTCTTTATTTCCCACTGACCCTTTGTATTAGGGTTCTTTCTCTTCAGAAGGCTTAGAAGGAATTTTCCCCTCATTGCAGTCTGGTAGCTGTAAGTCACAAAAGTCTTTTGATTGCTTCAAAGCAAATGGACTATTGTTTACAGAGAAATTGTGTGTGTCCTCACGTATCTTAGTTGGGCTAACTGAGCAATCAGAGATTAGCATTGCAACTACGGTCCAAAGTACAGGTTTTACAGTACGTGGTTAGACTTTCATTATATATATTGTATGGCAAGAGAAGGAAAGAGAGTCATTGCACTGAAATGATCATACAGAATAGAGAAATGTTGGGCGGCCTTCCCTGTGCTAATACCAGAGTGTATTTTCCTGTAGATGCCTACTGTTCAACTCCTCCTACAGATGGTTTTGCCTTTACAGCTTTTTATTTCCAATCTGCACTAGTCTTATCTAGCCAGGCAGTTTGTGTGTTGAGTAGCTGTCTGGCAATTCCTCCTGTAATCCTGTTAAATCATAGCTAATACAAGTTGTTGCTCTGGCTTTGACCAAGTCTCCAGGCATAACATCTTTTTCATAGCATTACCCAGCTCAAAAGTAGTTCCAGACATATGAGCTTGCCTTGTTGCATACAGGTAAGCATATTTATCTGCATGCTTGGCCTAAATGCAGGTTCAGAATAATTTTGTAAGTTATAATACTAGTTCAAAAAAATTAACATATTTTCCATCAGTTTATTCTACCCTAGAGAAATTTCTGTAGCCATAATTTTACATAATGAATAGGAAACAAATCCAGCAACTTGTAACAATGATCAAAATACCTCTACTAATGCTATCCTGAATCTTTGGCTGCTAGATAACTAATAATACTCATATGTTACCACACATAGTTCATACTTGTACATCTCTGATAGCTGTTGTCCTGGTTTGGGATGGGATAGAGTCAATTTTCTGCATAGTGGCTAGTATGAGGCTGTGTTTTGGATTTGTG